GCGTCTAAATATTTACGCGTCCGACACGGAACCCGGGTATTTTATGCCCGGGACGCCCTACGTCGGCCCCATGCCGGATAAGTGACACTCCGGTTTACACGTAATACGGCCAACGGAGCCCGTCACTCCCGCAACGTTACCGCGCGCTGACGTCGCGTCGCCGCGGCGACGCACGCGTGCCCGGGCGGGATGGGCGGTGGGTGGCGGAAAGGGTGGGCGCTTCTCGAGCGATTGGCCCTTCTTCGAAAACGGCTGCTTATTGATTCGGCACGCCTTCGATCTTTACCCTCCGGTCGCTTCTCTAGCGTTTTTCCCTCCTTCTTTCCGCCCGCGGCGGACGGACAAAGGGGTCTTGGGCGTCTCGGAATCCTCGGAATAATTGCCCCCCATGCGGGATCCTTTCTGGGCGCTTCCCGTTCACTGGGTGCCCCGCAAAGAGATCCGCGCGACGATCGAAGGGCGACTTAATTTCGATTTTTACGGCCGATCGGACGCGATTCGATGTCCTTCGGCACCTTAGTTTTACGACCCCAAGGTAACGGCGTTTCGAGAAGATCGATTCTTCCCCTAGCACTTTTGACGAACGCTGCAGAGCAAGGTGCAGCGGGCCCTGGGATATACTCGATCGAAAGTTATCCTCGAAAGGATCTCCGGATCGTTCCGCAATTATCGCGAGCACGCAAGAGCAGCGATCGGGCGATTAAAAAAATTGAATCGACATTCAGTTCGAAGGGATGAACAGGGAGGGTTTAAGGTTCCGGGCGAACGTATCGAAGGGTGTCCTTCGGATACACCGGATCCTGTTCGACCCCTCTAACGTAAATCGACGGACATGGTCCCTGAGAGGGAACAAAGGACTCGTAAGGGAAACCCTTCGGACGAGGAACAAGTAGGGGGGTAAGACACGCGAGGCAAAGACCCCTTTCACCACTCGACCCGAATTAACCCGTAAGCGATACCGTTATTTGCTCTTCCGTTCCGGGAGCGGCGCCACTCTCGAAGGACCCCCCGTGAAGACGGAACGCGTCCAAGGGAGGTTACTCCTGGCTGACTCACGACCCGCTAGGGTTTAGGGCTTCGCGAATTAAGGGTGGTTTCCTCCACCCTTTGCCACGGCCTCGGTTTCGTCACCTACCGCTCGAAGCGACCGTCCTGAGCGAAAAAACTCGACGCTCTGACGTTTCTCCATTTTTCCCGCATTCGATTTAAATGGCACGGGTTCCGGACCGGCACGAGAGAAAAGAAGGCAGGGAAGGGGAGGGAGGAGATCCCCGACGATCAGTCCGGAATTAGAATCGACGTTTGGACGTTACAGGTGTGCCGCGTGGCGTTTTTGAGCCGCACCCCCGGGATGCGCCTAGGGGGTGGTCGCCATTCTATTTTTGGCAGCGTGCCGCCGACATTAATCCTTCGGGATTCCGAGCATAAAAGGCGCCGCCTCTGTCACCGGGGAAACCACCCCCGCCGTTCGCTTCCGCGGAAAAGCATCCCCTTTGTTTTTACCCCGGCGATGGATCGGTCCGCCCTTCGCGCTCGCCTCTTTAATTATGGCCTGTCAGATTTTATTTTCCCGACACATTTTCGAACCTCGATGGTCACCCCTTAAGTCAAAGCACGCGAACGTTGTCGAGGCTCGCGCTAATCGTTTCGACGTTGTATCGTGCGTACGTTATCGGCCTCCGCGTTCGGGACGTTGTCGCTGATTTTAATCCAACGAAAGGGTCTGCACGATGTTTTACCGCCTCCGGGATAAAGGGGTAGGTCCGGGTCGAGGGCGGAATTGAAATTGGGAAAACGCTCGACGGTCGCAGGGCGAAAGTTGGCCGCCGGCGCGGAAGAGGCCGCGGCGGGGCTGCGACGATCGTGTAGAAACTGTAAGACGAGGACGTGAGCCATCGAGGATACGTGATCCCTCGGAGTGGACCGGGTCACGTTGCACCCTCGGCCATTGCAAAGTGAACCTGGTTTACCCGCAGCCCCCGTTACGACGTCGCCCGCGAGCGCCGAGATCGATCGACCTCTTCGTCGGGACCCTCGCCGATCTCGAGTCCCTTCGCGACTACTTACCTTCCTTGCCTGGAAGTGCCGGAAATATTTATATCGCGGATTTTACCGCCGCGATCGATTTAAACATTGAAAACTAGAAGGCTCGGAGCGGAGATTTTTCTCGCCCGGTCGTCAAGGAATGGATTTAAAAACGCGGAGGTGCCGGAGGAAGCGGAGCGAAAAGGGAGGGCCGAGAGGTAAGGAAGGATAAGGAGGGTTCCGGATGGAGGGACGCCTTTGGCTACGCGCGTTTCCACGCTCGTTTTAATTTCATCCCCGGGCCTCCGCGTCGCCGGGACAAGTTTCTCGCCGGGCGCTTTTATACGGAGACGCGCCGCCCCTTACGAGTATTTTTACGTTAGTCGCTGCATTATGCACGCGGCACGAGGACGGCATTACGCGCATCCATCGCGAGCGTCGGAGCTTCCGCGAGGAGCCGGCCGGCTTTTCCGGTCCGGAACCAAAGATCGCCTCGAGCCCGATTCGTCAACCCATTCCTGGATGACCCGCGGGAATACGCATCTCTTTGAGCAGTACCTAAGAAATATTTAGTTTAACACGACGCGTTATCTCGATAAGAACGGAGATCTTATTTACCCTCCTGGTATTTTAGAACGAAGAGAAAAAAAAAATTCCCCGTTCTTGAAGGAACGAAAACGAGTTCGCCAGTTTCTCCGAGCGCGTCCTCTAACCACGAGTCGGAACGAGATTCTCTTTTCTGGGGATCCGAGGGAGTCCTTCGGACCCCGTTTCACTTATTTCCGTCTGCCGTCTTTAGTTATACCGAAACTGGACGAGATTCCCCTCACCCCCGTCTCTGCGCTTATTCCTTCCATCGAAGTCCTCCGCCTCCGGTTCCTCGACGGTCCCATCAAATTATTAGTTTACGAACCGCCGAGATCGCGGATCCCTCGGGCGTTCCTGCAAATGGACGAGCCGGATTCATCCTGGAAACCGAGATTTAAATGGACGTGAGGCAAATCTTCGTCACGTCTCGCGAAGATTAAATTAAACGGACCGCCGTCTGTGTATCGCCCCTACGAGTCGATACACAATTCGATTCGAAGTACATGTTAGGAAATATCGAAACCAAGGAATATTTAGCTCTCCGAAATAGACGTCTCGCGGTCTCGTTCGCGAGGAGTCGCAGTTGCATCGAACGAGCAAACTCGATTACTCGAAATTCCAAGGCGTCGCCGTAGGAGCCTCGTTTGCGAAGGAAGGTCAAGCGTGGCTCGATAAAAATATTAGGCAATTATCTCGTTCTCATAAATATAACGCAATTATTCTAATAAGCACGAGTTGAGCGACTCGTCGCTTTCTGTACAGAGGTTCCCGGGACTTGTTATGATTATTAACTTTATAGTCCAAGTTTCCTTGTCTTCTCGCTGAACCGGCAGCCACTTCGTCTCTAATTCACGCTCTGCAACTCCGAGATCTCAATGATTTAATTTGCCGTCCGTGTCTTCGGCGAATCTCGGCTCGAAAAGAGACGTGCACTCGTGGGCGTGCACAGCGTGACTCGGAACGCACGTCCAGTAAATTCTCAAGTCTCCGAGGAACGAGTCGGAATTTCTCCCGAATATAATAATTCCGTCGTCACGTTCTAATGCGAAGCCAACCACTCCACTATTTAACGCGCGTTATACAACGTTTCTGGAACAGGTCCTTTATCGTCTCGACGGAAAGAAATTGGACCAACGTGGACTGACAGGGCCGTTACGGCTCGGAACGAATCGAGTCCCTTAAGAGGCGAGCCGACTCGAAAGTCTCGTGACTCGAGGAGGTGCATCGGCGCCTTTGAAGAGGCGAACGAGTTGCGCGGAAATAAAGGTCCTTCCCAGGATTCGGGACCGGGCAGGACCCGCGAAACCGTGTGAAACCGTGTGAAACCGTAAGGAATGCCATCCTCTCCGACAAGTCGAGGTCCCTCTGCTCCCAAAACTCGCGCCTCCACCTGGATATATTCTGTACATTCTAAGAATAATTGTTCAACTCGGATAAACGTGAATAGAACGTGCGCCTCCACCGGCAGACAGAAATCTGGATAGAAATTAGCTCTTTCACCGAGGCTAAGAATTAGCCCAGACGACGTTTGGCCTTCTTTCGACATCCGTGAAAATAGAATTTCGCCTTTCCGAGAGTTTCCTATTAACGCGTTAAGCGCGACGTCAGACTCTGGAGACTGACACGGCATGAAGGATCCTATATATAAAAAGTTATACCGCTTGGACGGAAAGCTCCGAAAAAATCGGCTCCGCGTTTAACGTGTTAATAGTCATTTTGGTAAGTGAAAACGGGGGAAAAGTCGAAAAATCCGCGGCGGCCGAAAACTGGCCTCTCCTTCGGCGCCATTCCGGCGGTGGCTTTTCACCGCTGACACTCGCTGCGGAAAATCGAGCGGCCTGCCCGGCCGAGTGTGGAGAAAAAACGATCGCCCCCATTAAAGCGACACGCCGACAATGCGCGACGCAATTATTTTCGGTTTATCGCCTCGCGAAATGAATTTCTCCCGCGCTAGCGGCCCGTCCTGCGACAGCCGCCACCCAGCCCAACGACGGGCGCGTCCATGATGCGGCGACAACATAAAATTCGGATATTTTTCGACGATCGGAAATGGCCTCGACGACGATCTGCCGGCCGTTAACGCGAGCGTTACAATCCTCCGACATCGATTCGCACCCTCCAAAACGCACCCGTGGAACTCGCACCCTCGCGGAGACAAAAGTCTCCATCGAGGATTCCGCGATAGTTTCTTTAGCCAGGAACCAAGTATCCCTTTTCACCGTTCCGCGGAAATTTCACACGGAATGCCTCTCGAAATCCATCAAAATATAAATGGCCCCAAAGGTACATAATCGCACAAAGACTTTATTCGTAGACGATTTGTGTCGGGACAGTTGCAAAAATTGTAAACTGACGATGGAAATCCATTTACGATTATTTTCCACGGGTCACGGGGTCGGCGACGAGTCGAAGGGATTTTCTGCCACGGATTCCTGCTGTTGCTCGTCTTGCAAGGATCGTTGCTCCTCTTCCTGCATCAGCTGTTGCTGGTCGGGACGTTCCGCTTGGCAATCGCCGGACTCGTCTGGACTTCCGGTCGCGTTAGACGTGCCTCGGAAACGGAGACAGAGCTTCTTCAGGGCCTTCTCCATGTCCTCGCGAGAGACCCAGTTTTTTCCGGCGCTTTTCGCCAGATTTTTCGCATCCTCGAGGGCTTCTTCGATGATGCCTTCCAGGACCGTCGAGAGGACCGCCTGCGCCCTTCCGGAAATTATGTACGCCCGGGCTGCACGAGAAAAAAATGCTACCTCTGGATCGAATGTCTTTTGACAATGGGGACGGACTAAAAAAAATAATACAATCTATATAAATGTGTCCAGTATGGTTACTTTATATCCAGTTATTTTAAATTGACGGGTTATCTCTTGCGTTAGAGTGGCATTTGAAAAAGTCCATATCAATTTGTCAACTTTTACGGATTTTTTTTTTGTCTATTTTTTGGACGGGAGGGTGGATTTATGTTCCGGCAGTAGACGAAAAATTCGAAAGTTTCGACGTAACAATATTGGCAAAGCAGTCGATCCTCAAACAGAATGAGAATTCAGCATTCGGGAGACAAGTGTAAATAGTGGAAGAGGTTTTCCCGGCTCCTCGAGGGTCCGGATCGAATTGGATGAGCAGGCTACTTGGAATGAAAAATATCGAGCGGATATCCTCACGAGATATCGAAGGAAAATAGTAATCCCTCTGTGGTGGTCCGGGATGAAGGAGGATAGCGATCTTTGTCCTCCGTCTCTCGTCAGCGGCGTATTTTATTTCCTTCAAATGCGCCAGGGCTTAAAGTCTAGTTCTAGAAAATCTTTCCGTATATCCTCCTCGATGCACGTTATCGATCCACGATCCAACATCGCGCGTCGAAATGGTTCAAAATACTTTTACACCCTGTGGACATTTTTAATAATGTCCTCTAAAATTTATGAACGGCTCTTTAATATAGGATTTTTAGTCAAAATATTCTGACAGAGAGAAAATTGCTGCAAAATAATCCCTGAACGTATAGGAACTGGTTAAAAATTTCAGAGGGGGTTAAAAGCAAAAATGACAGGGCCCCTTTTTAGTAAATCGTTACCTCCGTTCCGTCTGTTCCGGAAACCTGGTCTTCGAGTTCCATTCCAGGGGCCCGGCAGAGCTTTTCGTCTCATACTTACGAAATTTCTGAGATTTCACCAGAATCATCTACCGATAGGGCGCCACATAGAGACAATTTTGACGATTTTGACTACCCACTACCCGACTGGCTTGACAGTTCGGTTGCCACAATAAAAGACAAAAAGGGAACCGAAATATCTGAAGACCGGCAAATCGAGGGTATAAATCGGCGTCACTCCCACAAAGTCCATCCTCCACGGTAATTTGCATTTTATTTTCAAACGTCTCCGAAGAAGTCCGTCCAGAGAAAAGGCCTTCCCCACCGAAAGTACCCTGATTAGCAAATCCTTGCATAAACCATTTCGACGACCTCTCGCCACGCGATACCATGAATTTCTGACTCCGCTTAAATTCAGCACGCGGAAAATTGTCTACTTCGGAATAATCCGAGCAGTCGGGAATTTCAAAGGCGCGCACCATCGGCCGATTACAGACATCAGAACGTGGTTAAATAATCGTTAGAGAAGTTATTTGCTGAACCGAGGGCCGAGGCTCAGTGGAGTTGCCGAGTTTAGGCAAGTCCGCCAGAAGTTCCGCCCGGCAAAGAAGCTCCGTGGACCCTATTACAGTTACAATCAAGGGAAACCAGCAACCCTGTAGCCACTCACTGGCGGCAATTTTCCTGTAATTATTATGCATTGCTATGCAAATAGATGGACGTTTAATAGAGAGACCGGGAGGGCGTAGCGGAGTCCCGGTGTGCTTTGGGTAGCGAGAAAATTCCGCGCTGCTCCCCAAACGAAATATCTGCATCTACCAGCTGTTGCTTGCGAAGGGCAAAACCTTATTCACGATTTTTACGGAGAACCCCAGGGTGGGTTAAACGTATTAAAATAAATGCGAATGCGGAATCGGACCTGATAACGCTGTAACCGGCGTTACACCCCATGGACTCTGCCCTTCCTGGACAGGGGAAAGGGGAAAAGAGGAACCGATCGAGGAAAAGAAAAGAGGGGAAAATGTACGGTACGAGCCTCGCCTAGGATATATCTCGGTTTATTTAGACGGAGAGGAGAGGTTGCTCTTAAAATTCCCTGCTGGTCGCTAATCCGAGACCAGCTAACGGGGGTGCACGCCCTGGCGATAGTGGACATCCACGGTCACACCCCGGAAACCCCGTAAAATTTCATGGTATCGTGCCGCGAACAATGAGCCAATATTCCCGGTTTCGAAACCGGACGTTCCTGGTCCATGACCCTCGGGGCACCGATATCGCCCCATGGTTTGTCTCGTCCTCGTCGAGAGGGTCCACACCTCGGGGACTCGATGGATGCTAAATGGATCGCTGACGGAACGATTGACAATTTTATCAGGAACCGCCAAACATTGACTCGACCTGGGGACGACTCGACATTGAGCGACAAATTCGCGTTTCAGCCAACGAATTAATCACTGGGAATAAATATTTCTAGATATTTAATCGTCGGTATTTCATGTCGGATGAGCGAGTGAATTTTTTTTTTTTTTTTTTCTTAATGCAGAGCATCTTGGAAATATTTTTATCAACAAAGGTTCATGATCATTTTTCAAAATAATGGGATACTCGAGAATAATTTAACTTCTCGTTAAATTGTAAGTAGTCCGTGATTCTCTGTATGGGAAGCGAGCGTCATGCCAGTGACTATTAATATAATCGATGGTTATTAATAATTATTATCCATTGATACTCCTCGTCGGTTTCGGACGCGGGAATGGCTCGATGCCTGGGCTCTCGGGTTCCACGAGAGTGTTCACTATCGAAACAATTAACCGGCTCGCCAGGTAGGGCTAATTAATAGGTGAGGGAGGTAAACCGATCGACTATGGCTCCTAAATCGACCGCGTCGACCTGCGCCTCGATTGACTTGACCTTACACCTCGACATGGCTGGGTGACCGGTCAAAGTATATTCTCGGACGTCTCCAAAGATCAAATGTACCGACCTCTTAATTTCGTGAATACATCCGAGTCTCCATATCGTTTGACTCTCAACTCCTAATATCCGCGATTTTATTAAAGGAATGGACGAAACTTCTTAAAAAAAAAAAATGATGAATTAATTAATTACGTAAAGTAACACGGAGCCCGATGTAATCTGCTCTTTGTGCTCGTCACCGACATCCTAAATTCCAAACGTGGAAATGAATCCGCGCAATAAGAACATTAGTCGTAATTATACTTAAACTCCAGCTCTCTTTCATTAGTGCTCGTGGACCATCCTAGCTAAAACGCTCCGTAGAGCCAAGTCTCGTGTTTATCGAGTTTGCGTGGGATCGAACCTCGAAATTAATACCACTTTCATTGCGAAGTGAATTCCGAGAGCGGTCGCGTGGTCATCGAGGTCCGCCCACGAAAAGCCGGAGAAGTCGGCGATCTTGGGTTGGGGAAACCGCGAATTCGCGATGATCCGGTCGGTCGCGCAAATCGGGGTTGGGTTTCGCGGAAACCTCGACGCCGAGGCACTAATGGCTTTTCCTGTCCAGGCCGAGGGACATTCCCGACCGAAATGGAGCCCGTCGATTCGCAAACGAGAGTCCGCGGTCACTAGTCGCGATAAACGCGAAGAAAATGGCTCCACTCTGAGCGAGCATCCGATGCCCGGCCGAGTTACGATCCTCCTCGAGCCTGGGAATCCTGTGAATAACGCGCTAAATATTTCTCTGATATCAGCTCGGCCAATCTCGTGCGTGGCCCGACTCCTGCTTTCTACCTTCGACTACTCGATTAAGGCATGCGATAAGCACGGAGCCCGGAATAATTCAACCGGACCGAAGGTCCGCGTTTATTCGGGACTTCTCCGAGTCACGGTCAAACGGACTACTTAAGGACGAGTCCGTTTCTCCCCCATCAAAGAACCCCCTGCGGTATGGCGAAGCATTTAGGCGTTTATATCGAATCTACTGATATCCGGAGGGCCACTTTCTCGATTCCTCTGTCCGATTTTCCAGAAAGCTATCGATCGATCCCGTGACTCACGGAAACCTAGGAATCGAACCAGGGGTGAAAGGTGTTATGAAAGGGTCGTTCTGTACATATCATAATGTGATAATATTTATGAAACTTTAATCAAGAACGCGATGCTCATGAAATTTCATTTTAATATCGGAAAATGCTGGAATGTATAATATTTTTCTGTGATTTCCTGAGACGATCTGGCATTGTGATCAGTCGGGGGTGGAATCGAAGATCCGTAAGCCAGCGACTTGGATGGCCGACCTTTTGTGTGTGTACAGAGGGATGTTTGTTTCGGAGGGTAATGGGTACGTAGGTACTTACGTCGAAGGTGTAGCGCTTCGGGGCATCGGAGGTCCTGGAAAGGACGATACGTCGACGTCGGGACGCCTCCGGACGCTCGGATTGGTAGTAGTTTATATCCGCAGCGAGCAAACGGAATCCGTAGCAATACGTTGTCCTAACGGTGTGATTTATCGTCCGAGCTGATGTACTTTCAGCCCCGACCTAAGTCTCCGCATTTGTAGGTCGAGTGGCTCGCGGAGTCCTCGAGAAAAATGGAAGACAAACCGAAGGAGCCCTTTTTCCCGACGGCGGAGAAAAATCAATAGTAATATCAGCAAAGAATATCCTCGTGCGCTCCTTCGAGTCCTGAAAGCCGTTTACGAGAGGTCAACTCGCGTCGCGATTATTCGAAGCTGATCAATGCGCGACATCCTGCAAAGAATTACCGTTTACTTCCTATCCAACAAGGAGAAAAATCGGGAAATCTTAACAATGTTATTTATTGTCTATGTACAAACATTGATACACGTCATGACTGCCGGTTTTCTCGAGCAATGACGCAGGGGGTTGAATTTTAGAAATCCAGAAACGCGCTTCCGAGCATCCTCCCAGGAGAGGTATCGATTGATATCGAGACCTCGTCCCTCGATCCTGGATGTCCCATCGGCCCAAGGGACCATCCGAAATCAGTCGGGGTACTGTCCACGGTCTCGAATCGGGGAACGGGAAGAGAGTCAAAGGTTGAGAGAAAGACACGAACATGGAGCGCTTCATATGCAGCTTTCCTGAACACGCAAACTTCTCGTGTAGATATCGTGGGCTCTGTGGACCGGAAGCGTGCTAGGTCGAACTGGACTGAGTCCGTCCGGGCTGTCCACGAACCCATTGGGACACATCCAGGAATCCCTGGAGCGAAGGACGGTGGAAGGCGACGGACTCTCGAAGTCCTCCGAACATCCGAAAGGTTTCGTCCTTTCTACCTTGGGAACGTAAGTGGGTTCGAAAATGTCCGGCCTCCGCTCCACCTTATTGGGGATCACGTCGGGGTCGTCATCCGGCAGGTCCTGGACCACCTGGTCCTTCGGCTCCTTCCTGATGGACGACCGATCCAGGTCGTCCTTGCTCTCGTAGTTGACCAGCTGGGTCTGGGCTTTGCTCGACTGTGGAGGGTGGTTCCTTCGGTACAGGGTTAGGGTCACTCCCACGATCACGATGCAGATCGCCGTAATGCCTCCCGCGAAGCACGCCACGAGAAGGCTGTAATCGTCGACCTCCTCGGACGATCCTCGCCCTGAAATTAAACGAAAAAAATCCAGAGCTACGAAACGACGAATCTCGATTTTAGGAAAATTCCCCTCGGACTCCAATCCCCTCTGCCGAAAGTTATTCCGGCTTGTCGCTGACGAATCGGCGCTTGCCAGTTCTCCATCGGCTCCGTTTACGACAAATGACCCGGGATGATGGTTTTTCATAGGGATTACATCGACGGCTAGACGAATGTTTCAGTTCGGAAAAGTTTTTCATGAGCTCTGTATTTTTATGCTGGGCAAGAAGAACAAAAAGCAGGGTCCGTGCGCAGAGCTCGCACGCGGAGCCAAAGAGAGCAGTCGGTCAAAACCGAATAACAAAGCTGCTTTTAAAGCTCGTCAGCTCCGAAATAGGACCCCAAAGGGGTGTAGTCTTCCACTCGCCTGTGGATGTTTGTCAAAAAACACCAAAGTGTCAGTGCCATGACCCGTTCGATTGAGGTTCCTTTCCGCCGTTGACGAGGGAAAACGCGGTGTCGTCTTTCGCCAATGCGCGGAACGAGTCCGGTTCGCGAGTTCGTTTGCCGATTCACGGGAAGAATTTCAGAAAAATAAGATGAATAGGCATCGTTGATCGAAAGTGCCCAATGATCAAGAGCACGTACAGTCTCCAATCCACAGTAGACGTAATCGTTCCTCCCACTTCGCGAAAATATCTCGTTCAAGATCGATACCCACCACCAGCTTCGGACCCCTACGCGTCAGGCATAAGTCCGCGGTAAGATCAACCAAAAAGACCAGCCGAACGACCGAGGTCTCCCCGGAGTCCCCCAAAACGTGAAGAAATAACGAAACTTGGGTGTCATCATCAGCTATCGGTTTAATCGTGGCGCTCTGCCGATAAGGGGAAACAACGTGTCGCCCCCGCAATGTGTCCAGAACGTGTCCGGTTAACCGAATTCGTTTTCCCTGTCCATTATTGGATCGGGGGATGGAGAAACACGGGTTGGCCGGGGGCGAAAGATTAAGAGCTAGTGGCGGGAACATCGACGTTGATGGGACCGGACGCCGCACTCTTTGGGGTTCAGAAAACGCGTCGGTTCGTTAGCTGGCTTGGGGTGGGATTGCGAATAGCGGCTCCCGGATGTGATTCGCCGTGAGAGTCGAAGAGAGGTTTCGCCTTCTACCCCGTGAAAGAGGCCGAAGAAAAAGGGGCCGTCCTGGTCCATCCAGAGCGGTCTCGAGCCTGGTCCAGGGGCGCGAGCATGTGTCCCAGCTCGCTGCCTCCTGGATATACCTACGTACACGGAGAGCCCCCCATGAATAAGCCATGAGGATGGAAATTAAAGACGATAAATGTGCTCGGAATGAGACAGGCGCGAGGAAAGAGACTCGGCTTTATGGGATTTTAATTCAGGGTCCGCCCGAGAGCACGAGCCCCTGCGCCAAGCTGTGATCCTGCGGCTGGGAAATGGGATTGAAAAAATGTAATTGCGTCGCCTCAGAGACCGTCGCTCTCCCTGCGTTTCCCTCCCCGCGTCTGGGTAAATAAAACGGACGCGTGGTTAAACTTTCAGACGTTAATGTCGAATTTTTCGAGAATTTCGCGCGGACCTCGGGAGTTTGCGGCGAGCCGCCATCCCACCTGTGACACATTTTTACGTTCCTTTCCCGAGAGCGAGTCTTTTCTTGGAAATTATCCTTCCCTTCTCGGCGGGTATTTGAAGTCTAATGATGTCTCTGAGCGTTTTTAAAAACGTCGCGGTAAAAGGATATCGATTTAGAGGCTCGAAGAAACGGACTCACCTGTGGTGTACATGGCGACTCCTTTGAGAGTAACGGGCTCCAGGACGACGGGATCGCTTCGGCCTTTGGCATTGACTGCATACAGCAGGAATTTGTAATTCCTTCCAGGTTCCAGGTTAGGAACCTCGAAGACTGGACCGAATGACTTGTACCTCTCCGTGTGGTTAACGTAGACGGTGTTAATGTGGTACACGCTTTCCTCGTTGTAGACCTCCAACTCGAAACTCGTGACAGGCAGTCCTCCGTCAAACCCTTCGTTGCACCTGACGATCAGCCAGTCCGCGTCTCTAGGATCGGCAGCTTTGTATTCCTCGTGTCCAGCTGAAACCAAAGATCGTAGAAAAAAAAAAGCGAGAAAATTAAGAAAATGCCGATTAGACGCGACTCTACCTGTGCGATAGGCGTACGATCCCGCGGCTTGCATAGCGGTGCAATTCTGCAGGGGATAGGGTTTTCCAGCGACGATGATTTGGAAAATGCAAGGTGTCCTCTGCACGCCGATGCGATTCTTAGCCCAGCAGGAGATCGTACCGTAGTCCATGTCGCTGGCGGGAGTGTAATTCAGCCTGGATCCATGCCAGTGATTCGTGAGCAATCTCGGGGTCCTGATCTGAGCGAACTTACTGCTGGGGACGTCCATCAGTTCCCCCGAATTGTTGAAAGTCCAGTGGAACGTGATCGGCGGTGGCTTGGACTGGACCCCGCAGACCAGGGAAATCGTTTCGTGCTTCAGAGCACCGACTACTTGGTTCGAAGTGCCGTCCTTGCATATAGGTGCATCTGGAACCCGAATTCGACGAATTCTTGGATCCACGAAATGGCGACGGACGCGTCGAGAACGACGAAGAAAAAATCGCTACGAAAGAAAACTGCAGACGAGCCAACTTTTCTTGCAAAAGAGACGTCTTGAAACGACTTCTGACTCACACATGACTTCCAGAGCGACAGGTCTGCTGGAAGCCTTCCCTTCGATGTTGGCAGCCAGACAAGAATACTCCCCGGCGGAAGCTCTGGTAACGCTTTGGAGCACCAAGGACTGTCCACTTGGCAGGAAAATCCCGGCCGTGACGTTCTGGTGGAGCTCCTTGCCGTCCTTGAACCAGGACAGCTTGTAGACCTTCGGGTTGGCCTTCACCTTGCACTCGAAGTAGACGTCGTCGCCCTCGTTGATGTCGTTCGGATTCAGACTGGAGCCCAGCTTGATGCTGACCACCGGAACGTCTGCAACCCACCAACGGAAACCTGACTCTATCCTCCACACTTCCGGATCGGTCGCTAACCAGACTTCGGAAGATTCGATCGATCGATCGTCCTCCTTGAGGTCCTTACAGTGAACGATCAGCCTCCATCTGTCTTCTAAGCCGCTGTCCGACATCACCGGATTCTCCGCTCTGCACGTCAAGTACTTTCCGTCGTCTTCTATGGTCGGCACGTAACTCAGCACGCTTCTGCTCTCGTTCGGACTCTCTGCAAACTACGAAGAGCTCAGCACCTCGACTTCCGGGGTTAATTCGGCCTCTGACTGCTACAAAATCGGGATATTCACGTTTCTTGCCATGTGCTTTACTTGGTGGGGACCCTTCCACCACGTGATCACGGCTTCCGGTCTGGATCCTGTGCTGGAACACTCGATGTCGTACGTCCGTAGGGCCGACAGGTGGATCTCCTTGTTGGTGATGTTCACCGTCAGCGGCTTCACTGAAAACAACCCCAGAGACGTCTCCAATGATCGAAGCGAGACGGATGTCGATGCAGCGGAAGGATTAAAAAATTTTCCCGGGTCGTCGGATAACGTCGGACTCCGCTCGCACTTGCAATCGGTTCAATGATTTTACGACCACGAATCGTGGCTACTGGTGTACTTACGGTTAACGTCCAATATAATTTCCGCCGAAGTTGGAGGTATCAGGTGGGTATTGCTGGCCTTGCAGATCAACCGCGCTTTGGAAAAGTTTCTGCCGATCTTCTCGATGAACAACGAGTTCACGGTAATTTCCCCGTGTTCCTGGCGAAAACTGTCGTCCAGCACCTTGTTCTCCAAGAACCAGGACACCCTTGGGGGTGGAGTTCCTCCACCGACCTCGCATACCAGGGAAACGTCGCTGCCTTCGTTGAAGGGTTGCAGGATCTTCGCCAAACTCTTCTCCGTCCCGGTGAAGATGATCGGCCTTCTCGGTGGAACTGGCGAGAGGCATAAATGTCCCCAAATAGACGTACGACAAAATTCTCGGCTAGTTGTTAAAATTCCCGAACCTCTTTTAAATGCTTTCTTTAATTTTAAATATTCAGAATTTTAAGGGCATTTCTGATTTTGACGAATCGGTTCGCTCACCGATGACGGTAAGGTTGATCTTCTGATGTCTCGTGGGACTGTTTTTGAAGTCGACTCGACATCTGTACATCCCAGCATCCATATGTTCCAGTTGATCGATTTCGAGTTTCGCGGGTTTCGAGTCGGTCCTCATGGTCGCTCGCTCTCCGAAAGCCCGAGGGTCGGACCACATCTTCGCCTTCGAGATGATCCTCCCCCTCGCGTCCATGCTGTATATCGGTTCCCCCTGATTGTTCTCCTTATACCAGAAAACCATCGCGGCCACTTCGTCCCTCGAGTTCGGCTCTATGTCGCAGGGGAGATGCGCCTTCCGCCCAGAAACCGCGCTCACCACCACCAAGGGAACTAAAGAAAAAGAAAATTTCCTCGTGGTACCAAACCTGGCCGCTGAAATCCAGCCTTAATATCCACCCCTTAGAACATATTTTTCCGCATAACCTCGCGATGTATCTAGAACCTATCCAGGGGAAATTAAACATCAAATAATTATTCTTTGGATTTACACAATATTTTTATTTGGCACTGTTCAAAGAAATATATCTTTCGTCAATTGACAGTTTTTTTTCTCGGGGCAGGGAAGTGCCGGCAAAGGTGGACGCGCGTTCAGGGACATTCGCAGGTCCATGAATGGCTCCAGGATCGGGGAATCGGGAACCCAATTAATCGGTCTGCTTGTCGATTTATGCCCCGATCGGAGCACCGATGGCGCGATTTTATTGGCTCTCGCTGCCGCCTCATCAATCGTTGGCCCTCCACTTTCCGCGGGTGCACCTCTCGTTCCCGACGCAAGGCACCACCCCGGAATCATTCGGGAGCAGAGATTAATTACGGCGCACCTACGACCCTTGACTTCCGCGAGGCCCGCCATTTCTACGGGAACTCTTTTCGGGGCCCCGTGAAGAATGGTTCGCGGTATTAATCTCCCCTACGTGCCGACCCGCGGGGACGAATTCGAAGGGTCGACGATTTTTCCCCGATTTTTCCCATTTCCCGGAACCGCGTCTCTTCGGAAGACGCGAGAAAAATTTAAATAACCCGGCGAACCCATATTCGCGCCATGACCGTTGCTCGCAGACATTGAAACGACGAATAGAGCCCAATTATCGTGCTGGCATTCCCATTTTTCCCGATTTCCGCGGCGGTGCTGAAGTCGGCCGACACGGCCCGGAATCCCCGGCTACACCGGTAAGCCGCCTTTATGCCCGGTGCAAACTCCGAAATTCATTGGCCGGCGCTATGTTAATAATCCGTCGTAATTAATGCTCGGCTCCGAATGTGCGTTCGAACGAGCCGTCGTTAACGACGGCGACACGGGACGATCGGCCGTGTAACTGCGTTTGCGCGCAGCGTTTGCAGCGCTCACAGCGCGCGTCTCCATTTCGAGCACGGCCAGGCTCGACGATACCACGGTAATTATTCAAGGCAAACGCGGGACGTTACCGACGACGACCAGACACGCCGTTACGCCCGTGTGCACGGCAAACAGATTTGTACACGGACGTCGGTCGCGGCCGTGCGGATAATGCACGGCGCACCCCGCCCCAAGGCGGCGACCTTAAGCTTCGACGTGGGATGAAACACGGAGGCGTCGCGAGGTAACGACGCCGCATCCGGAATGGCCACGCGGACTCGCCGCGGAATCATCCGTGCCAATCGATGGGTCGAGGCGGGGAAAGAAATAAGTACAACACCGGACAGAACGCCATTAACGAGCCGCGGTTTGTCCCGTTGCAAAACACGCGGCCAAAGCCGCGCGGAAACGCCGATCGGAAAACGCCCGGGGCGCCGTGTTTGCACCGTTCTTTATTTATTTAACGAGTGCACGCACCGGGCGACGCGTTTCCGCGACACGGACACGCGTCGAGGCCGCGTCGTCGCCGTAATCGGCAGTCCTGAAACGAGGCCGTGGCCGTTAAAACCTCGTAGCCAATTGTCGACGGGGCGATCGACGTGTAAATCGGCTCGGTCATCCGGTAGGCCAGAGTATGGCGAGCCAGGGTCACGTAAACATCGCCATGTAAAGAGCGGTCCCCCGACGACCGCGCCTTGCCATTCCATTGGAAAATCACTTTACGCGCTACATAACGTATTGTATTTACCCAACCCTGGTCGTCACCTTGGAACGACGCTTTACTTTCAGATCGAAAAAGAATCAGCCAGGTGCAGGATGCAGGTCGGGAAGAAGGATGCTCCTCGAGGAGGCGTCGATTTTTTGAAGGGAGGCATTCGCGTTAAAAGTAGAGAGACGTACGACCGGGGACGTCGACGATATCCGCACACGCATCGGCGATGACGTACGTACGCTAAGGGGAGCGATCCGAGGTCGACCTGATTTACGTCATCCGTTTTCCCTGTCGCCGATAACGATCCGCGCTCCTGCTCGCCCTTGCGCTCCACCTGACGGAAATTAAGCGCGTCCTTAGCGGAACGATGCAGGAGGAGGTCCTCCCCGAGTCCTCTGCAGGTTCACCTGCATCAGGTTGGACCCGCAGGTGCGTTCAAACCGGTTGAAGCTGAGAAACCTCCGTATTTACTCGTCGGAGCCGATGACCCCGCCGCGTTTATTGGATATCTTTCTTCTTTACGACGCCGAGTTTCGCCGCAGAATTTTCGCGCGAGAGAAAGTTTAATAAAATTACAATATTTTTATTACTAACGGGGTGTCCCTTCTCGGGAGGGGAAATAATATCACGAAAGGTGTGGATTCCGTTGGGCGTCGGGACTGGCGCGAACGCCGTTGTTTGTCCCCCGTGAAATGGAGGAACACATCGGGAAACGGAGTGGACCCAGCCAAAAGGTCAAGTCCCTGAATGGACGCCCCGGAACGAGGAACGAATGGATCCGCGGATCCGGGAAGGAAGAGAGATCGCCCGTTCACAGCCCTGGCCTTTGGCCTCTTTTCGCGGATTCTTTTGTCCCGGCAAGACAATCCTCCCGACCGGACAATCGGTCCAATCGGTCCGCCATTGAACGGGCGTCTTCCCTCTGCCGGAAGGTTCCGCAGCCATCTGCCCGAATAAAGACACACCGACGACCCTCTAACCGATCCCGAGACCCTCGGGACTTTCGACACTTTATTTCCCGGGCTCTCGTTTCCTCGGGTGGATCTTTTCCGAATTTCTCCAGCATCCCGCCTACCCATGGACCCGCCGGACTTTTATCCGCTTTCGGAGCCGCTCGATCGAACGATAGCAACGCCGAAATCGACCCTCGTATAAATCAATATGGCGTTTTTTTCGTTAACACGTCCTTTCGTCGCATTTTCCGCCAAACGAAGTAGTCGCGATGGAAAAGGGATAGTAGTCGAGGAACGGAGGTAAAGTCCCTTATTCGGGAAAAAACGACCCCTGACCCTCGAACGACGCTCGAGGTCCTCGTCGTCGATGCCCCGGGGTACGGGCTAATCTCCCAAAAATTCAACGAGGGAGGGGATTACGAAACGGCCTTGCAGTCGGCGATTCGCGATGCGAATTAGCCGGAATTTTCGGTACGTATTAAGCCGGCCAACCCTTTCCGGGTTTGTAATAACGGCAGCCCCGTCCTTTTCAAGAGGACCAAGGCTCGTGTTTGCTGACCGAGGGCTTCTCGCGTCCCATCTTCGCCGTTATTGCGGCGCTTTTTGTTTGAAACGCTCCTCGAGGCCGCCGCGGCATCGCAACACCCATATTCTATTTTTCCACCCCATCCCCGAGGATCCAGTTCCTTTTGTTAAGAGCACTTTAGCCCCCTTTCCGCATCCTACTTCGCCCAGTTTTGCTCCTAACCGCCCTGGCCTGGTTACCGGAGAAGGAGCTTCGACTCGGCGTTGTCGCATCTGCATGCAAAAAGGCGGCACGGTCCTCCTCCGCTGCGCGTTTTCCGCGTTTCCCGCGAGACGGTAATCACGCGGAGCGTCGTTACGCGCGTTTGCGAATGGCCGACCGACTCGGGGACCTTCTCCGTCGCCGATCGCGAAGAGGAATAAATAATTACCCACGGAAACGGGGTCGCCTCTTTCGAGGGAGACCAAAAATCCACGAGGGGAACCGACGGAAATCCGCAAATTCGGGGGACGGATCCGGCTTTTGGGGATCGTCGAAATCCGGAACGCTCCACGAGTGGACAACGTACAAGTCCATTTAGTCGAAAGTACTTTATCCCCTTTTCCCGCGTCCTCCGTAGCCCGGGTTTGCTTCTAACCGCCCTGGCCTGGTTACCGGGAAAGCTTTGACTCCGCGACGTGGCTTTTACAGATAGGAATACGAACGAGTCCTTGAAAATGACAGTCGAAGCCGGAACGCGGTGGAAGCGTTTGAGCCGAGTTTCCCTCTAGGCAATCGTTCCAGGGTTGTTTAAATCAGGCACTCGTTACGATCGGACACCCTTAGGGGAACGAGGATCCCCTCGCTGGGAAAAATGACTGCCGATCGGGCCGTACGGTTTTTCCTTTCCGACGTGCCGTATTCGTATTTATGTGGCACGCAAGTGGGACACCGCGGATGTAGCTCAATTCCCGGTGGCAGCTCCGGGATTCCTTTTTATCGGGAATGGGGGACGATTGGACCTTTTGGGAGCAACGACTCGTGTCCCGGGAAAAATGGCCACCGATCGCGACAGGGAAATCTGCTATTCTCTCCTGGCCGTACTTTTTGGTCCAGTTCAACCCGCGCATGCGTGACGGAGGGTATTATTATATTTCACTCGGTCGTCCCGGAAAGTATAGCCGGGTAATGCCGTATTTATAAGGCATATTATGATCGCAAATGGGACACTGGACGTGTAATTAAATTTCCAATAGCACCGGGACTCGTTTCCATCCATCGCTGCAACTGCATCCGGCAGTTTCTCTCGGTATGCGTTAAGAGCATCCGAACGGCTTCTCGACGTCTTCCTTTACCTCCTTTGTCTAGTTTCGCCGTTAACCGGCCTGGCCTGGTTACCGGAGGAGCTTCGGTCGTAGCTTTTACAGATTGAAGTAGGAACGAGTCCTCGAGAGTTACAACCAAGGCCGGGAAGCACGTTCGCGACGTTTAGTCGGAACTTTCCCAATGTACGGTCCAGACACCGGGTATCTTCCGGGTGGAAGACTCATCTCGGTGGTTCGGCCACGTGCAAGATATTCGAGAGTCTTAAAAAATGTCGGAAGCGAGGACCGCGGTCGATCCGTCGCGGAAACCACGAGTCCCTCGCCGCGTCAGGGCGCCGTTAATAATTGGGAAAGCTTGGAAAATGTCTGCACTGGTTCCGAAAAATGTGACCAACGAGGAGTCGTTCGTTAACCGAGCGGGGTCGAAAAGAACGCGAGACGCGGAGGGCCGGAAGGGCGGCGGGGGTTTCGGGGCTGAAATACCGAGGTTTCGTGTTTTCCCGGCTACATATTGCCGACTCTCCAACTTATTTTACCTCTGTCCCGAACACGCACACCCCGGCCGGGGCGCAGGGACCGGGGAAGTGGTTCGCTAATTTTTTATTGCCCCCGCGTTTCCCAGCGACGCGGCACTCCCTACATATTTCCGCGAGAGCCCCTAATAATAAATCCGGCTGATTTACGAAGTATCGCGCGAACGTCCGCTTCCCTTCCCCGCGGGGGAGCGAGGGGAGAACGGGCGTTCCGCGCTCCGGAATCTCTTCCTGGGAACCCTCGGGATATTCCCGGAAGTGCGGCGAATTCCAGAAAGGAGAGACCCTCGTTGCCTCCTGGATCGATGCTCTCGTAAACGTCGCGTATACGGAGCCCTTCTCCGAGTAACCAGGACCCGGGATTAACGCGCCTAATTCGAACGGATTTTCCGCGCGTTTTCGGGATCCGACGAGCCGAGTCGATCTCGGTCTCCCTTTGGAGGAACGAGATATCGAGTCTTCCAGGACTCCCGGTTTTCGCACAAGGGCGAATCCCCTCGGCGCCGATCGGGTGATCGATCCTCCCCCGTAAACCCGATACTCGTGTTGGCCATCCGGAGGACAAGCCCCAATTTGCATTTATGCGATTATGCAAACCTCTCTACATACGACACGCCACGTCCAATGAGGACCATTATCGGGAAAAGCGGGCCGAGTCGTTCCTGCAATTGTCAGCCATGAAATCGAGCGGCCGTTCCGCGCCCAGGGACGACTTCTCGCGGGGACACCTCGTAAACGTTCCTTACGTCTCCCCTTCTTCCCGATTTTTATTTCAACTACCCTCGGGAACTCGAGCACGGGCACCCACCTCGGGATATCGAGGAGCAACGCGACGTAAAGCGAATGCAGGGAAAAGTTGGCCGAGTCGCGGATCCCGGAACGAGCCCGCGCCGCCGAACGATACGAGGATCGTCCTGCGGGAATCGGATCGTTGAAATTTCCTGTACAAAGAGCGTCGCGACGAAGAGAGACAGCAACGTCCCCGGGAAATGGTCGAGTCGACTCGAATATCTCGTTTACGGATGCAAACTGTTACGAGGTCTGGCGCAAACGCGGATCCCACGGAGAGTTCCGCTCTTTTCTCGCTCCTTCCCCTTTTCCGCGTATCTTCGACCGCGAGCGGCAAAACGCGTTTTAAGGCTTTTTGGAGTTCCGAGGGACACCGCCGGAAAACAAGGCGGGGAAAGTGCCCGCGGCAAGGAAAACGATCGGGTATCGTGGCCTCCTTCTCAGGAAATTATCATTCTTATTCCGATGAAATATTGATATGAAACGGCTGTATGACCGACTTTACACCCTAACTGCTGGCGCTGGAAAGACGTCGATTGTCCACCCTTTAACGTATACCGATTTTACCAAGGGGCTATTCACTGGGAAATCGGTGAAATCGACTTCCTTCATTGAGAATCGATTGCCATTGATGTCACGCGATTCGGTAACGTGTGACGGTCGACCTTAAAATTGTGCCAACGTTTTGGTGATTTCCAACGATTTCCAGTGATTTCTGCCTGCGATTTGTGGATGACTTCCACGTGATTTCGAGCATTAAAATCCATAATTTCCTGAGTGAATACCCCATCGGTAAAATCCGATGGGGTATATCGTGGCTTCGCCATTGTCGATGCATTACAAAGATTAAAGCCATTTCAAGTACGAGTTTACCGTAAATTGATTTCGGGTATTTCTGGGGAGATCGCGAACCTATCGAGGGAGTGCAGAATCCCATACATGAAGACGACCACTTAGTGCCCCATAAGTGCACCTCGTGCGGTAAAGTTGCCTCCTCCGCCATCGCGTGTCCGCGCCTCGTCGAGGGTAGGCCATAATTTCCCACATCGACCACTGACCGCTTTGTGATGATTCGCTCAAATTCTCAGCTGACCCATATTACACGAGCGGTTATTACGGACCGCGGGAAAAAAATCTCGTATTTGAGGCGCGAATCGGTGGAGAAGGAGATATTCCGCATTTGCTGCAACGGGACTGACAGCACGTTCCGATAGGCCCTCGCATATTTTGTCCACGGGCCAAGAGCGAGGAATGAACATCAAGAAAAACGGTGTAAAATGCGAACGTTGTCGGTAAAACGAGGCTAAATCCGATAATTCGGAATTAACCGAAGGCGCGAGGACAGCCCGCGAGGAAGATCGGGTAAACTTTCAAGGATCCGCATCCTGACCAGCCCCATTCCGTCGACGGGTTCCTGCGGAAAGTTTCGGGGCGCGACCCGGAGCAAGTTTCGATCACGCGACGGAGAACCCTTCGGCAACTCGAAAGACTCGTAAGATTCACCTCGGAGCCCCACTGACCCCCATCCAGAAATTATGGGTTTACCCCTCTCGTCCTCATGCGGCCGTAAACCCGCGGAAACCGCGAGAACCACGAAAACGATAAACCGGGGCGTCGGAAACTCGCCGGTTTATCGGCAATCGACTCCCCGAGTCCATCGGACGTTGGTGGCGGCAAAAAGATTCCGCGGCCGATTATCGCGAGGCTGCCGAGCCGTTATGACAATTTACATAATGTATCCACCGAGTAAACAGGTTGCGGTTCCGTCCGGCATTGTGGGTCTCCCCTACGGACACGTTAACCGCGAAGCAACTATTGACAGGTGAATTCCCGCCCACCACCCACCCGGTCTCTTTGTCGTTATACGTCCGTTATATGTTGCGCATAGCATTTGCATTTATCGGCGTTATTGCTATTATTTCATCGCCGGTCACCGCTCCCCTCTTCCCCGTCGACGGCGAAGAAAGTGGATCGCCCCATTAACGACGAGAAATTGGGGGAGACGCTCGATTATTCATCGCGAGTTGGGAGGCGTTTAAGGAGATCCGACCACGAAGAATCGTCACCAAGATTATTTATTCACGGGGACGTTCCGACTTCTTCGATCGCGTCGTCGAACTCGTTTTTACGTTTCGTACAGTTGTTGGAAATTTTACCATTTTTACCATTTTTACGGAATCGTGGACGCGGAACCGTCGTCGAGTTTGACTGGCACGTTGGTAAAAAAATTAATGAAAAATGGAAAGGATTAAAGAACGCAGTACCTCCGCGTTCTCGCCGCGAAGTGCGTGACCGGTCTCAGTCGAGACGCTAACTCGAGTTTGCGCGTCCATAAATATGCAACGTGCCATGTACAACCGCGAGGAAGGAGTTCTACGTCTCGAGAAAGACGTGCATAAACGTGGCAAGGCACGCGTCAGAAGTTTCCTCGACGTTTATCGCCTGAAATTAATTATTCAAGGTGAAATAATCGGACAGGAAGTCTCGAAATTCGACGTCCTGCGTGATGCCGGAAATTCAACGACATTCGATTAGATTCAACGAAATAAATACGGGGAGAAAACTCGAGACAAGGGTTACGTATACGAGCGACTTACCGGACTCGTCGACGTCGCCGGTCAGGAAGTCGGCGGCGACGGAAGCAACGAGGACGCTCAGCAGTCTCAAGGCGGTCTTCATCTTGGGAGCAAGAGCGACCTCGTCGCGACGTCTTTCGAGTGCCTCCTGGAGGCAAAGTCGAAGTTCGCGCCCGACTCGGCCTGGCTCGTCTTCGCCGAGGTCCAACTCGAGGAACCGCCGAGTCGGGCCTTTCGACGATTCGAGAGCCCTCCACCCAGACTATTTCTCCCCCTCGTTAGTTTCCTCGTTCGAGACGTTCGAAACGTTCGAGATGAGTTCACGGCGAGTCGTTAAGCGGAGCCATCGCGGAAACATCCTCCGGACGACCGGAGACTCATCGTCTTCCTGGTGAGGACGCGCTGCGCGGGGTCGTCGCTTCGACGCGCCGCCACTTCGGCAACGGCCGCAACGCGCACTTCATGCTTCGGGGTCGGAAGCTCGAGTTCCTTCTCCGGTCGAGAGAGGAGAAGAACAGGAGTTCGCGAAAACGAGGTCCGTCGAACGATTCGCTCCAAGTCTCGAGAGAACAGAACGAGAGTGCGCCCCACTGACGGGGTGGTCAACCGGAGCGTCCCTCTCTCCCTGGCACTTCAGCCACAGAACCGCGCCGCAGGGTCGTTTCTTTCCGCCCTCGAAGATGCGCGGGTCTCCTCGATTCGAGACGGGGCGACACCCCCCGCCATGCCGGAAGTCGTCCTCGAACCCGGAAACGAAGGAAGTCGAGGCACGAACCACCCCGATAGGTCGAAAGCAGAGCTTTAAGCCGAGAAAGGGAGAACGAACCCCCGGAAAAGTGCGGAGGCGCTCACTGCTGCGCTGCGGCAAGCCTACTGACGGGGGTCGCGGTGCTCTCGGTCCTCCTCGGGCGCGCTCGGCCGTTTCCGCCACCCTCCGCCGGCCGGTTAACGCATTCTCCGACCGCTATTCATTCTCCCGCTTTACCCTCTCCGCCCCCGCCACCCTCCCCGACTACCCCGAATCTTCCGAATGGCGGGACACCGACGGATAAGGAGGAAAAGCTCGCGCGTGCCTATGGGACGCGGTTATTTTCTAAACACGATGCTCTCCCGGCGCTCCTTCCGAGTCCCGAGGATACCATGACGAGAGCTCTCGAAAGCCCAGTGAAATTCTATGGGGAATTTCGACGGCTTCTCCCGAAATTTCTACGAGGGATGGAAACTTGGAATCGGCACTGATATGGGAAGGTCGTTTTGTTCGACGCTATGAATGGCTAATTTTACCGCGATTCCCGATGGGGTCCTGTCGCTGACGGTCCATGGGGGTGGCGAACCTCCTCAAAGGGAACTAGGGACGCTCCGATATGGTGGGACATTTTAGGCCCTGTCGCCTGCACCCTACGACTTCGTACTTTGGACGACGATGTCGGTTTTCATTATTCTGGACGAGGAAAGGGCGCGAGACTCCTCTCCCTTTCTTAGGTTCTTGTTCCTCCTTTTTCGTTTTCGAGAGGATTTATGCATTTGTCTGCGTCGCGATGGATGCGGAACACTCGTTTTATATCTGGGCGATGAGTTTCCGGGAAAAGTGGAAGCGAAACGCCGAATGTATTCCAGCCACCCCTGAGAAAAATTGCGCATCCATCCCCGAATACTTTCTTAGGGTCGCCTTTTTGGCCACCGTAGAAATTTCTCTTTTCCCCTTGTGCTTGCAAACTCGCGAACCGAGGACGTCGTTCGCGGGAAGGCGGCGTAACCGTCCCTTCAATTTTAAAGCATAAAGTGAAGGATAAGAGTACAAGCTTTCAAAAAGGTGCAGGTGCAGTTGACGGAAAGCTACCGATCACAAGGTTTAAAATGCTTTAAAGCCTTCCCACGAAACTCCTCGATCCATCTTCGCGACATCACCCTGGTTGTATAAGACTCCCCTACTTTCGGATTGCCTTGCCCCTAAGTGCTCGTTATTTTTCATAGTTAATTCGTTGCACAAAAATTGCCCGAACAACGCCTCGATTTTACCCCACCAAAAATGATATAATTGGGATTTATTTCAAATAAATTGATCTCCACTCTAAATTGTGAATTTTACCATTCAGGAAGGTCCTTTACGCTAATTTCGTTGATAGAATCTACAACCATTACCACTATAAGAAAGTAAGTCGGGAATAATTTTTTTCCGTGCATTAAAGCCGCGTGAAAGCCCATTCTTTATCGTAAACTATGTGCTGTATTGTTGCCTGTATATAATCCCCGTGGAGAAGCAGAACAAACCAATCGAGTGTCTAAAATTCCGTTTGCACTTGCGCGAAGGTTATTGCCTTCAAAAACATTTCTTCGCCTTCGTACAATCTGATCATTGCCTTGTAACGTCCATTTGGTAGAGAGCTTGGAAGCTCGTCTGCAGACGGAAAGTAATCATTGCACGTGTGCTTGCCCTGGAAGGATCGATTTCTAATGAATCAAGAATCAAGCTTGACAATGAATATTTAGGAACCGAAGAACGACCCTAAAAATCGGGAGTCCTTTTCCCATACACTTACCTTCTTGCATGTCGGCTCATCATTGGTGCAGCTCAAACAATTCATCAGTGGACCTGCACCTATCGGTTCGGCTGCCATGTCTTTGAGGGGCATCTCCATTTGCATGCCGGTAGATACAAAGTTATCACCCCCTATGTCCAACAACACTTCGAAGTTAGCCTACACACAGAACAAATAAAAATTGACAACTCGTCCTTGTAACGGAGATAAGGTGTTTAAGGAAATTCCGAGGGAGCGTTCACTCGTTAAACCATGGATTTTAAATCGAAATCACGTGGAAATCGTTGGAAATCTCCGTAATACTCTCACTATTATAAGGCCGGACGTCACTTGTTACCGAATCGCATTGTTGTCTGTCATATGAAATCAAAGGAAATCGTTTTCACTGATTTCCGAGCGAATAGCCCCTCGGGAAATTCTTGACCGGAGACTCGTCCTCCCTGCAAACGTGGGATGTATCAGTTGCGACGAGTTTATTGCTGGAGTAGAATGGAAACATATGGAGAGACATGATTTCATGGCGCGATATGGGGGACGGCATCTACCGCGGTACGCCATGGACTGACAATGAACTGCACGCTCGAAACCGTGAGTGGTCATAGATTTACTAATAAAACGCCACTGGATGCCGTGCGAAGAAAAATGGACGCTACGGTGCGCAACGCGAATATTGCCTGGTGACATACAGATATTACAGGATAATATAAATATACCACCGGGTACCACCGCGTTTGTTCCCTTCTCGCCTGTCGACGGGTTTCGTTATTTTTTATTTCGATCGTCCTCTTCGAAGACTCGAAATTCGTTTGAAATTACGGGAGAAATTCATCCGCGGTCAATTCTTACCATTGTGCCCCTGGGGGAATCCTCGATCAACTCGAAATCAACGTGAATCGCGTTGGTGGTCTCGTTGACGTAGTCAACTCCCACGTCGCAGTAGCTAACATACTTTGGATGGGCGAACACGCAGTCCGCATCGTCTATATACACCTGAATGTCTGCCTGAAAAGTGTCCTCGATTAATGCGGAAAAGTCGCAAAGAGATTGCCGTTTAATCCGGTACGACTCAAGATTAAAAAATTTACTCAAGATTAAAAAATTTACTTAAAATTTAATTAAAATTTACCTAGACATCGAGTCAAAGGATCGCGATTAATCGGCGATTTAACGTCGCTCTTAATTCCTGACAGAATTTTCCTATATTTGGTCTCCTTTATTATCGACTTCCTCCATTCTTACCGAAGATGAATGTACCTGCAGCAGGCAGAGCGCAGCGAAGAGCAGCAACATGGAGAGCGGATCGGTTTCGACTTGCAGCTTCCGGATAACAACCGACGTTATTATTCTAGGCTTCCTCCACCCTTTGTTATGACACTCTGATCATAGGAAGTTGTCACAATCGGCTTCGTGTTGGCTTCGGTAACACGCAAATGCATTGACGCCTGGTCGGCCAAATGCTGTCCGCAATTAGTTCGTTATCGACGTTGTCGTTCTCGATGGCGAGAGAGATGAGCTTAACGCGACGTAACGCCAGAAAAGTCACGTAATTAAATTATTGTAATTATTACATTGTATGCCCGTGACTATTCTCATTGTCCTTGTCCTTCCTGAAGAATGTTACTCGAACAACGAGGTGCTGGATCTCTCGAAAATCAGCGTTTCGTAATTTTATACCAATTGGTAAATTCATATATATGCGTATCCTCGTCCAGTAATTGTTAATTTAACAGGGTATTGCGTTAAGGGGATGTGAAAGTATTCTCCGAATTGGGCGTACCAATTTGCTTTAAATTTGACCACATGAATAAGGAGACCCTAAGGTAAGTCCTAAAACTCGGGAGATTTTCCTAAGTTTCCTAAACGTGACCTCTTTGACGTCACTTTCGCATCACCTTGAGGTCCTTTAGAAACCTCCTAGAGGTTCCTCCGGGAACCGAATACGAAATTCGCATAATTCGTCCTTCGAAACTCCCTCGTCGCCGAAATTCGCACAGAGGTCCCGTCCATCGGCGTGCCAACTATATCGGGAAGAATTCAAACCGCACGAAATACCTCATCGGTGGTTAACATTGGCATTCGCCCAGTTCGCCTACAAAGCGAGCATAACGTGACCTGTTTTCATTATTACCGAACGTTCTCTGGACTCCCCCATAGAGGGGAACGCCAAAATCCCGCGTATCGGCCCATCCGAACGCGAACCCTCTCTCCCTCTTTCCGTTCCCAACCCCCGAGCTTATTCCAATTCCACGGCGATGGACATACGGTTAAACGGATTTCGGCAATTCGTTTACCATTTGATCTACCTACGCCATTCCAATTATATGTTTACTCTGCCGAGCGCGTATCGACTTTGGGCGCATTTGCTGCACCGAGTGCAGCTGTGAAAACCATTCAAGTCGCACGAGCTAATTCACCAGGACATTGAGTTCCTACTGTGCCGGGACATTAACAATTCCCGATCGTTTGCGCCCACCGATCATCCGTAATTCCTCCTGGGTTTTGTTTTCGTAATGAGTACCTCCTGGGTCGGCTTCCGGAATTATTGCTTTCTTTATTTCAGGGATTTTTTGAGCACAGCGAAATTAGCACCTGACGGTGCTTCCGCGACGAGGTACCGATGTACGATCCTAGCGATTGCTTTTTCTCATACCGACTTTGGTCAATGTCTCCTTTTTGCAAAGGATGGACAGACTACTTTGCGACTTTCCGAAGTTTTTGGGACGATGTTCCCGGCTCCATCCATTGTCAGCTGAAGTGCGAGATTGCGTTTCCTTTCCGCGTTCATTTCCTCGGATAGTTTAATCAAGCGCGCCTGCTCTTGTCGAAGTGCGTGTCTCATCTCCTGCACTTTTAATGCAGCTTCGGCCTGCTTCTCGGAGATCTGCTTCTGAAGTGCCGCAATCCTCCGATTTAGGATGTCGTAGTTGTCCTGCACCTGTGGTCTTGAAGTCATTGCAGTCGAGGAAGTGACACAACCTCTTGGAACGAAATCTTTGCTCGGACGAGATGCACCATCGATTGTTCCGCCATCTTGCCTGACCATTGACGATGTTAAGAGACAAATCCGGTCGTGCAACTCCGCCAGCTCGGTCAGGGTCAATGCCTGTAAAATTCCAGAAATAATTACGAAGAATTATTGAAAATAGGTCTTTTAATTCGGATATCAAACTTCATACGTTTAGCCAGATCTCGGGATCGAAAACTTCGCTAGGTCGTTCAGACTCTTCGGAGACACCGAGGACCTCTTCTTCGTCTTCTACTTCACCGTCTTCATCCTCTTCCCCGATTTCCGTTTGTCCAATCCGCGCGGTTTCCTCGGTACCCTGTAAAATTTTTTTTACAACTTGATTGCTTTTCCAGACCTGCCAAAATATACTTATTGAATATATAAGTAAATCCTTACGCTTAACGCCTTCCGCAGATCTTCGTTTTTCTTCCCGAATGTCTTTACCGGGCTTGCCAATCCTTCCAGATTTTGGATTTCCTTCTCAACCCGATGGAGGTTTGTCGATAGATTTTCAGAGTCCTTCAAGACGTCCTGTATCCCAGGGAACGACCAGTTTCCTGGATCCTTTTCGTGCTTCAGCTGCTCGGCCATCTCGGGTTTGACTTCTTTTTTCGCCTCGAGAAATTCGACGTATCCTTGCAGACGCTTCGCGGCTGTTAAAATGTAAGAATATACGAGGATTGAGTGAAGTTGGAAAATTGGAAACTTAAGATTTCTGAGTCGAGACGACCTAGAATTTTCACCTTCGTTTTGCAATTTCATGTTTCTCTTCAGTAACTCCATGGCTTTGATAAAATCTTCGCAGTCCTGTGGACGAGCCTCGGGGATTCGAGCTTTTCCCTCGGGATGCGTTTTTTCGGGTTTCTCTTTCTCTGCTTTCAGGGCGAAATAAAATTACGCGATCAAAGGGGAGCATGACAGTATATTGAAAACAGCTTGAGGAAACGTACAAATATCGTTTGAACTTGTATTCTCACATATGACAAACGTAACCGGACCACATTTTTATCACAATCTATTTATACCCGTTTACGCAACAACATACAACATGTAGAAAACAAGACAGGAAAACATTTACCAGTTTTGCTCGTATTTTCCGGTTTTCTGCACGAACCATAAATGTAGTCATTTTATTCACCCCGATATTTGACAATAAAATCAATAGCCTCTTTCAAGTTTTCTAATATAGTTCCAGCAAAAAGTTGACTGATTAACCGATCATAGCCGAACTTTTGATACTTCAGAATTGATACTTATTAATTTTTTGTAGTACTTTATCGAGTGCACTAAATTTTAGGCATTGCCTTATTTATTGCGTGTTTACGCTTGCGTAAGTACCGTTGTAAATGCAACGATATCTTCGAGTCAATCTTCAGGAGCATAAAAGTCGGAATATCGAGAAACTTTTATAAAATAACGCAGTTTTACCCCGAGCGTCGAGCTGCCCCCTGAGTTTCGCATTTTCCGCCTGGCAAACTTCCAGATCGGCCTTCAGCCTTGCATTCTCTTTGCGCAGCTTTTCGATCTCCCGATTCAACTTGTCATTGTCCGATTTCAATTTATCAACATCGCTCTTGTCTTCCTTCGTCTTGGGCTGTTTCGATTCAGGCTGCCCTTCCACGCGCTTTTCCAGCTCGGCCTTCGATTTCTCGTTCTCAGCGCGACATTTCTTCAATTCTTCCCTCAACTCGGCCAGGGCATTCTTCAAGGCTTCCACTTCTTTCAGGGCAGCATCCTTCGCGGCCCTTTCGCGATTTAACTCTTGATTAACCTTGTCTAACGCGTGTTTCGGAACCTCGGACAACCTTTGCTTCTCCATCCGATCACCCGCCGAGCGCACAAGTCCTTCCAGCTCTTTTATCTTCGCTTCTGCATCCGAAAATCCGTTCTTCAGCTTCTCGTTCTCCTTCTTTAAATTCTCTACGTCATTCAGCAACTTATTGCTCAAGTCCTTGAGTTTCTCGTTATCCTCCTTCAGCTTCGCATTAGCGTCGACCAGCTTCGCGTTCTCGGCGCTTAGCTTTCCATTTTCGGTCTTCAGTTCAGCAATTTCTCCTCTCAGTTTTTCGATCTCTGCCTTCATCTTTGCGTTTTCAGATTTTAGTTTGTCGTACTCGTCGCTTATTGACTTCAGAGCGTTTAGCTCGGCTTTCAGCTTATCCAGGTCCGCCTTCAGTTTTGCGTTCTCAGCTCTCTGGGTTTCCAATTCTGTGACCGTTTTCCCGCTGTCGCTGCTTTGACTCTTCAGGGCCTCCAGCGCATCCTTGAGTTGTGCCTTGCAATTCTCCAGTTCTGCCCTTAATTTTTCGCCATCAGCACGGCACTTTTCCAGCTCAGCTTTCAGAGCAGCCAACTCGGATTTCAAGGATTCGGCTTCTTTCAGAGCTGCTTCTCTGGCAGCTCTCAAAGTTGCTGCTTCCTTGTCTAGTTTATCAACTTCGCTTCTCAGCTTGTTCAGTTCGCCAACTAGCTTCTCCTTTTCTGCCTCCAGGGTTGATAGTTTGCTTTGGAAATTTCGAACCTTCGCTTCGGCATCTGCTAGGGCCTTTTCCGAACCTTCGCTTCCTTTCCTTGCCGTCTCCATATTTTTTTTAACATCTTCCAGTTCGTTCTTTAACTTGTCAGCATCTACCTTCAATTTGTCTCTTTCGGATTGACTGGCAGCCAATTCCGATTTTAGTTTTTCGGCTTCACCTTTGGCCGCAGCGAGTTCGGAGGACATCTTCTCCTTCTCCTTCCTCAGAACTTCGACATCGTCCTTCAGTTTTGAATTTTCATCCCTCAGCTTGTCGGCCTCGCTTTTCAGCCTGTTATTTTCCCCTCTCAGTGCTTCTACTTCATACGTAGCTTTTCGAAGTTCCTCGTTCAATTTGTCGTTCTCCATTCTCAGTTTTTCAGCATTCGCCTTCAGCTTCTCGATCTCAGCCCTCAGTGCTGCAACCTCGTCACGGAGTTTATTCGTCTCTTCCTTACAATTCGAAGCTTGCCTCTTCGCATCTTCTAAGTCGGACTTCAGCTTCTCGTTCTCGCCCCTCGATTTCATCAATTCTGCTTTCAGGACTCCCAGTTCTTCTCTCAACAACGATGCTTCCTGCAGAGCCGCTTCTTTGGCAGCCATCAAAGCAGACCACTCGTTGTTCAGTCTATTTATTTCACTCTTCAGCTTCCCGATTTCATCTTGAAGTTTCTTTTTTTCCTCTTTCAAAGCATTTATCTGTCTCTCCAGTTCCCCGGCTTCGATTTGACAATTACTCAATTCCTTCTTCAGCTTTTCGATCTCAGCATTCAGCTTCTCAGTCGCCACCTTTACCTTGCACATCTGAACCTCCAGATCTTCCAACTCAGTCTTCAGCTTTTCGTTCTCGACTTGCAGCCCGGCGACCATCTCCTTCAATTTGCCAATTTCTTGCTTCAAATCGACGTTTTCCTCTTTCACGTCTTCCAATAAGATATCCAATTCGGCTAAATGTCTCTTCAAGGCATCCCTTTCCTTTTTCAGTTCCTCGTTCTCAGTCGTTAATCTCTCTATTTCCTTTAATAATCCATTCAGCTTGTCCTTCAAAGCCTCCAGCTCTAGTTGGACTGTTTCCTTCGCTTTTCTTTCTGCACTTAACTCGGCATTTAAATTGTCAACTTTTTCTCTCAATAATTTAATCTCATCCTGCATTCTTGCTTTTTCTGCCTCAAGTTCGATTGCCTGAGATTCCAACGACTTCACCTGGTTCTGAAGATCATCCGCTTGTTTCTTCAAATGATCTAGTTCCTTTTTTAGCGACTCCATTTCCGTCTTCAACCTCTCGGCATCTTCTTTCAGTGACTGCAACTCGTTTGTTAGTCTTCCGTTTTCAGTTCTCAGGGTCTCCACTTCATTCTCTAATTTTTTATTCTCAGCTTTCAGATCGTCGACTTCTTTCTTTAATTTAGAGGCCTCTTCCCTCAGATTGTCAGCCTCTACCTTTAGTGCATCTAATTCATTTTTCAACCTATCTCTCTCTTTTTCAACCTGATCTAAAGTCGTTTTCAACCTCTCCTGTTCCACTCTTTGGCCATCCCCCTCTCCTTTCAATCTCGTGTTGTCCATATTTAATTTCTCCGTCTCAGCTTTCAAAACTTCCACCTGGGACTTCAGAGAATCGTTCTCAGACTTCATCTTTTCCACCTCTTTCTCCAGTTCTTCCAATCCCTTCAACCGGGTCAACAGTCTGTCCAACTCTTCCTCCAACTGGGCGAGCTTCTCTCTTAAATTGTTGAGTTCCGAAAGCAGTTTCTGATTCTCAGCTTCGAGGCTTTCCTTTTCCTTCTTAAGATTCTCGTTTAATTCCTTCAAACTCTGCACTTCTGCAGCAAGTACTTCAAGATTGTCTTTTAAATTCCCATTCTCTGATCTCAAAGCATCGAGTTCTTCTTCCAATCTGGAATTCTCAGACTTCAGTTCATCCAGTTCCTTCTGTACCGTTTCTCTCGCGATTTTCATAGCTCCCAATTCTTCTTTCATCTCTTCCAAGGTCGCTCTTGCCATTTCCAGCTCCTTAATGAGCTTCTCTTTCTCGTCCTCCAACTCGTTCACTCTTTTTCTCGCCGCTTCGAGCTCTTTGCTCAGACCCTGAAGATTTTCTTCAAATTCCCGAATCTTTCGTGACAAGTCTGCGGTGTCTCCGCAACATTTCTCCAATTCTGTTACGCGTGTTTTTAGGTTATCTATTTCCTGTTCTAAGTCCTCTATCGTCGTCCGCATGTCTTCGTTCTCTTTCCTCAATAACTCTTCCTCGGCTAGAAGTGTGTCTATTCGCGTTTGCATTTCTGCCAATTTTGAGTCGCAATCGTCCGTCGTTTTCTGTTTCTGTTCCAGAATTTTTGCTATCTGATCGTTCCTCTCGGAAATTGCTTCTCGAACCCTTCCTAGCTCGTCTATTAGTTGATCTCGCTCAAGCTGAAGGTTGTACATCTGCGGCTTTATCAGCTCTATTTCACTTCGAAGTGCAGTCATGCCTAGCATGTCCATTGCTGAGTTTCTTAGATCTCCCAGCAGCTCGGTCACCTAGACGGACGATCACGGTATTAATAAATAAATTCTTAATTAAAAGTATCATTTAAAAATTAAGTTCCGAAGACCTGCAGGTATACCTGTAATTTTTAATTATATAACTATGAAATTTACTTTATCGTCCCTTTTCTTCAGCTCCTCCTTCATCGCTGTCACTTCTGCCAGTAGAGCTTTGTAGCTGATGGTCATTTGATCGAGATCAACTGTCAACTCGCTCGTCACGCTCTTCTGTTGATACAGTTGCTTCTGAAGTTCATTGATCATCAGATCCTTCTCTGCAAGCTGTCTTCTCAAATCAGCCACCAGTGCTTCGCAGCTTCTCGGTTGATTCGGAAAATCAGGCGCATCCGTCCTATCAGCCTTTTTCCCTGCTTTCTCGTATGTCTCGTCTGGATGTTCTTGAAAGTCCGTTTCTTTTATCACGATCTCTTCCTCAACCGAGTCTACAGGTGCAAAGTTCTCGGTGGATGGAGAAGGTGTCTTCGGTTCCGTCTTAACTTCAGGCCTCTGCGAAGCTTCCGCTGACAAGTCTCTATTTTTTCTCAATGCAGCTAATTCCCTCTGCAGTCGTTCGTTTTCGGCTCTCAGATCGTCGCAACTTTTCGACAGCTCGACCAGAGCTTCGATAGATTTTTCGACAACCTTGGAAACCTGTTCGTCGGCTTTCTGGCCGCCTTTTAACAGTTCTCTCAGCTTCGCCCTGAGACGATTCAGAGCTGCACAGGAAGAGTCCTCTTCGGCCTTTGCGAGTTTGATCTTCAACGCGCCAATTATCTCCATCAATCTGCAACAGGCGCGACGCCGTTCCTCTTTTTCTCTCTTTAATCACCGATATCGGTTATCAGTCGTGATAAAAAATTAAAGTACCCCTTTTTCTCCTCGGTGACCCGCTCTCTCAGCATCTGCATCCTCTGTCTCATGTATTGCACCGTCTCTTCTGGATCATCGCAGCAATCTCTCTCGGCCAGAGTCTCCTCCAAATTCCTGACCCTGTCCTCCAGCTCGCTCTTCTCGTTCTCCAACTTCTCCGTCTCTTCTCGATAGTGAACTATCAAAGGGTCTGGCCTCAGTGCCTCTTCCACGTCAACTCCTGCAATCACCTCGAAAATGCAGGCGAAATCTCGCGCAGGAAGCATCAAGATTAAAAACCAATTAATTACCCAAAGATTGCAAGGTCTTCTTCAGAGACCTCGTCTCGCTCTCCAACTGCAGCCGCTCCATGCGCCATTTTTTCATCTGACATTTCATCACCGTTAGCTTTCGAAGTGCGAAAGGGAGATCGTAAATTTCCGCATCCTTCGTATTGTCGCTGAATGGATTGTAATTACAACAACAGCAGGGCTCGTGCGGAGGTTCCGCAGGTTGCATGCAGGGCGGCGATGCACATCCGCAGAGGCAGGAAACTCCGGGACATCGGTCCATTTTGTCTTTTTTTTTTTTATGTAATTTCCTATCTCATTACAAGAATATTTATCGGGAGAGCGAGTCTTCCATCGATGAATTTACAAAACCGCAGAGCTGGGAAAACATTTACAGGTTAGGGAGCCGTCGATGTCATCGGCACTCCGAAAGCGTTCCCCAAAATTGGCCACTAGAATTTCCGGACGATTAAACTCAAAACTCGAGGGTGCATCGAACGATTAATCCACGGTAATTTCTTCGAAATTTCGGACATCCTCTTCGGCCCTCGAAAACACCTATTCGATCATCGAGGACAGGCTCGATTGTTCTCGATTCGAGTGCTCTCCTGCTGCAGCATAAACCCTGTGCCCATTAATATTCATTACCTCAATGTCTAATCAATAATCAATGAAATTCACCAAATTAACAGAGTGCACTCAAGTAGAACCGGGATGAAGTGAGATAAACAAGGACTAATTGCACCGCTGCCGGTTGAAATTCAAGTAGCTCTTAATTCTGAGGTTCTCATCGGCGGGAGGGAAGCGCTAATTTTATACCCGATACGGTACTCGATGTTTCACCAGGCGCAGCGAAAAGTAACGCTTTAAACTTAGAAGCCGTTTTCGACGAGTTATCGTAATTGCCCCGCTATTAAATCATTCCATAATTCCGTCGACCGATGGAGCAAGAAATTGCCCCGATTGTTCCTCGGGCATTTTTACAGGGGACTAAATGTTCTGTTAGATCTCGAATCCACGATGCGGCATGCGTTCGAGTCCTATTTAATAATTCGCGTTTCCGTCGAGGATCCGAATCGATTTGACGAGAAGACGAGAGCGCTTGAAATTTCGAGCAGAGAAGTCCGGAAGTGACGGCACGACGCGAACGGACAAATCGTCCAGGCCGAATCGAACTCGTTCTAATAACGGGCGGATCGATCGGCGCGAGGCCATCTTCGTTGAAAAACTTTTAATTAAACTAATCCCGTAATAATGACAGACTCGCGGCCCCCCGTCCTCCCTCCCGGCCGACATTGGGGTGGCTTTACGGGAAATTTAATCTCGTTTCCGTGGACCCGACGCCGAGCAGTTGTGAAGTCTCTTGTCTAAATACAACTTCCCGGAGCTGATCGAGCAGCACTTTGGGAACTTGGTGCAATGCGGTCCCGGTGGCCTGTACTTCGAATCACCTCGAGAACTTAGCTCCGGGAATCGGGCTCTACCGACTCGAATAACGTTTCTGTTTACATCGGATTCGCGTAATTACGTCGCTACAGTAGTCCGAAGGTAATCCCTCAAAGCCTTTGGCACCTCCACCTCGTTAGACTTCGCGCTGGGCGCCGCTGTCGATCCCGATGACGGCCTTCGACGTCGTTTCGAATTTTTAAGACCGTCGCGGACACTTCGCTACGACGCCGGCGCAGAAATCGACCAATCAAATTACAGAAAAATGTATCATGGCACCCTGCGCCAAGTTTGACTAACTGTGCACGGAGCTTTAAGCTCCGTCATCTTTTTCGCGAGTCGACCGTCCACCGGGGTGGCCTAACCAACGTTGGGCGTCAAAATGTCCCCCGGAAAAATCGTGAAAATTAAGAAATGAAGAAATCTCGACTGGAAATCAATCCCCAAGTGAGCCACCCCGGAATTCGATTTCATCCTGGACCCGTTTTCGATCATCATTAGTTGGCGTCGAGGCGGCATCGGGGACCTCCGAACCCGGTGACAGGACAAAAAGCTTGTTCTCGCGGCAACGCGGTTTCTTACCGAGAAGATTACTTCCCGCTGAAGGAAGAATGGAAGAAAAGTAGTTAACGATAAATTGCACGGGGCTCCGCGGGGCTTTAGAATTTCTTCGAAGGGCCGTTCCGCTGAGCCGATAATCGCCTAGTCGTTCTCGGGATCGCTGGAAGACATTCGAGGACCGAGAGAGCCGGAGGTCCCCTTAATATATTGTTTCTTCCTGGTACCAACAATGGCGGGGGCGTTTCCATTTTCCGCCGGTTATCCAGAAATGGAAGGCACCGAAGAGGGAAGAGGGTGGTTTAGGAACATCCTCGGCCTTCCGGATCGCTGATTTTCACCCCGATGTAAACGGCTTTAGACAAGCGGGTGCCGGATAAACACCCCGACCCCACCAGGTCGAGAAGTCCTATCTCCAGGACGAATCAACTGACCGAAACGCGAACGGGCGTCGGTCGATCACTCCCTAATACGATTATGCGGTAATCTTAAGGACCTCGAACATCCTACGATAAATGGGAATGAAGAAAAACTGACGTCACTCACGGAAACGATCGAGGATATTTTTTAAAAAGACACGCTCTCGATATCTCGACCTGGCTCCGTTGAGGTCCTTCGATGTCGACGGGCGCTCGTTCAAGAAAGACGAAAATTACTCGGCATTGCTATGTAGATAATCATTTCGATTAAATTTTTTGGGGGGCATTTTATCAGTAGTAATGGATTTTTGGATATTCGGTGCAGGTCAAACGTCGTCGCTAGGAACCCGAGTGGAATCGGATGTCTTGCAATGGCGCAACTTTCGGAAGGTCCTGATCCCAGGACTCGGATAGTTCGGCGGGTCCTCGGGTTTCCAGATCGGCGATTTTAGCCCCGATGTAAATGACCTTAGACAACCGAGTGCCGGATAAACACGCCGCCCCTTAGGACCGCCTTGCGCAAACTCCTGAAGAGGACCTATCTCGAGAACGAGTCAACCGTGCGAAACGCAAACGTGCTCGCCTATTAATGTTCCCGGGAATGGCAAAATGGTCCTCGATAAATAAACGCGGGGAGAAAAGGACTGGCCGAGGTGGAGTTATTTCAGCCGGCTTAAACGGGCCTCCACCCGCGATTTTTTAATTCGAAGTGGTTACTTCGACGTTAGTATTCGAGGACTTCCTCCTTGGCAGGATGCATTGGACGCCAAGCAGGATATTTTCTCTCCTCCTAGATGGTCCCCGAATTTTTTAATCCAAGGAAAATAGATTTCTCCGGAAATATATATTTTTTTTCTAATTGCGGAAAGAATTTGAGGCCGACCAGGAACAATGTGGAGGGCTAATAGAGCCTTCTCGCTGGGTCGCCTTTACCTTCCATGATTTCGTAATAATGTGCGCGGGCGCGGTTATGCTGCAAGCCATTATTAAATATTTCATCGGTCGTGGGGGCGTCGCAGCCCTCTGTAAAATGTCGAGTTCGAAGCCGACGTTCCGCCTGGCTCGATTAAATCGGCGGTCGCAATTTACAAAAGCTTTGGCTTTTTGCAAAATGCACAAATAGCACTCTGTCCCGGATCGAGAGCCGCTCCGCGCAAAAATGTCTGTAGCTGCGAATACGCACCCGCGATAAAGCATGTCACGGTTAAAGCGAAATTGCACGATGACCGGGTCGGAAAAAAAGTCAACGGCTTCTTTCCGCAAGATTTGTGCCTCCCACTGATTCGAAGATCGAAGCTAACGCGGTCTCCGATTTTTTTTCCGATTTTCCTTGAGATGCAACGACCTCGAAGACGCCAACTGGACGGACTAATTATTTTAGTGTACACTGTTATTAGCGGAATCGATAATCGGGCTCACTTGAGCGGTAAAATCTGAATCCAATGTAATCTGCCCAAGTCAAATTGAACTCGACCCAATTCCCAGAGCTCTCGCAGTACGAGAGACTGGAGCTCGAGCTGATTACAGTTAAGCCAAATAAGCTCGGACTAATTCCCAGATCCGCATTTTTATCGGTGTCCCTCTTTGCCAATTTTCAGCTTCACCTGCTCCCTAAATTATTGCCCACGCGAACAATCGATCGCGCTTATTGCCCGACCGAGAACAGCCTTCGCGGATGCATTCAATCCCCGGCTCCCCCTATTGAATCGTACCCCATGGGGATTCCAGATACGGGAACGACTCGGATTCTCTCTTTTAGAAGACGAGCAGAAATCGAAGCCTGGTTACGTCGCAACGGGACGATTTTAATTGAGCACACCTGCACCCCCGTCCTATTTTCCTATCCTCGCGAGTGCTCCAACCTCCATTATGGAATATTATTAACTTCTTGCGTAACGAAATGCATTTCCTGTGCAGTCCTCCCCCATGTTGGCGTTTTTCACAACGCCCGAACACCGAAAATGAAAAAAGATATGGCACCCAAAGTATCGCATAATCCAGGACGTTGCCGAAATATATCCCGCAGAACTTGAATCGTTAATTTCGTCGTCAGCGCTATACCGAGAAAATGAAATAGGAGGATTCGACTTTTCGATCTTTTTTGAAAAATCTCGGATCTCAAGCCAGGGTGGCGCGATCGGAGACACCTGTGGAAGGGTGGAGGTAATTGGGGTTGGGAACCCACGGAGGGTGCTAATCCTGGTTCCCTCGGTTCCCCTGGTTCCTCCGGTTCCCTGGTCCCCTTCTCTCGGGTTTCCTCCACCTAATGAGAGCACGGTGACCTCTCTCGTGGACCAGGGAGGCGTATCTCCGGCAACGAGTTACCACCGGCTCGCCTTCGCGGGGGGTCGGCGAGGTCCGGGGGCAAACAGGGTACTAATTAGCAAAGGCAGAGGTAGCGGATGCACCCCCCGGATAGGCGAATGGCCCAGGATGCAAAGGGGCAGCCGAGGGTGTGCCTAGGCAGGGCCAAGTGCCCAACTTCCTACCCCGAAATCGCATTAGAGCCTCTCGTCGTGTCTTCGCTGCGCGACAACTAGAGGCAAGGCGACCTCGACAGGTTATCGTTGAATCGATGTCACTCTAGGCTCTCCTGGACCTCAAGCCAAAATCCCTCCAAGAGATCTAGTCGATATCTTCAAATTCCCTCCCCTACTCTGTCTGACTCTTTCGTGCCTTAGATCTACGAGTGATTTTCAAGGATCAGGAATAGGCGATTAGAGGGTTTGCTAGACATGCTCGTCTAATTAAACGTACTCATTTTTATTGTTCAATAAGTTGCTTTATTACATTAATTATTTTACAGTTATACATCAGGTACCGCAAGTACATAAGTTCTCGATCAAACGGCTCCTCTTTTTTCTTTCCGTTCTTTCTGCAAGTAATTGCACTCGGAGTGCAATCGACAACACCCACGTCGCCAGGCGTAACGAAGCAAAGTTCTCTATTGTCCGGGGACATTGCGCGGCGTAATATCCAGGGAGTCTCTAGGGTCGTTGCGAGTCGCGTACGCACCGGATGCGTAAGTATGCATCACCCTCGGCCTTTACGCAGGGGGCATTACCTCCTCGGTAATGCGGCGCATTGCGACGACGCGGCTCGTCCCGGCGCTGTCACGTTCGCCCGTAAAAACTAATAAAAGGCGCCTCGCGCCGGTACGAAACACAAAATGGCGCGTTGTACCAGATGTTTTGCGACGCGGTACACGTGCGCCCGCCGACTAACCGGACTTTAATTGTTTCGAATAGTCGTAATTAGAGACTGCTGTAGCCAGGCCTTTCAGCGCCAGATACATCTCCTCGGTTCTCCTCGAGAACCCTACGGAGTTACTCATTGACTTTCCGAGATCGTTGCCGGATCGCGGAGATGGAGGACCCAATGAACTTATCGGAGTTCCTCCCGATGCCGGTCGATAATCGGAGACTGGTTTAATCGGACGCGTACGTACGAAAACGCAGCCAGATAGTCGAACATCGACCCGAGATGGAAGGCTAATCTGTCCTGGATCGTGGCGGAGACCGGCATAAATTTAATTAAAACTTCAGAAATGACGGAAACGCGACAACCGGCGAACCAGACGGAAAACCGGATACGTCGGTTCCGACATCCCCTCGGTGTTTGTTCGGGCGCAAACGAGAACTTCGCGATCGGCTCGATCGAGTATTAATGGTAATTGGGGACTCGATGTACCCTCCGGCGACGTTGATGCTCTCTTAATTTGCCGCTTCCGGAAAGGGGTGCTAGATATTACCCATCGTTCGCCTCGTAAATGGTAATTTTCTTAACTCTTAATTTTACAATGTCATTTATGGGAGAATCGAAGACATTCGGATATCTTGCATGGAAATATTTTGGGGTAATCGAGGGTAACGTTGCAGGTTTAATTTTTAATATGATCGGCTGATAAAAGATAGGAGGTTAAATTAAGGGGATTTTTAGTTCGAGGAGATTAAACTGTGGGAGGAGAACGTGAAACCGACATGGACGCCCCACCTAGCTAGCGAGTCTGAAAAATCTTAAACGAGGACTAGTATCAACTGTATCTGAACTTTCCACCCGTCGAGGGGTAACCATCTACAAAACTCGCGTTAACACGTTGATAAGTCGAAAGTGGTTGGTATCATCGACCGTCGACGAGTCAGAGAATTGTCGGTAAGTTATCGTGGGTAGATCCTCTATCCAGCTTGCAAAGACGGATTTTTTTTGCATATTGATCGTACGAACTCGAAAATCGGAGCAATTGTTCGATTGATTAACGAAACAATTTATGTTAATCGTCTCATATTATATACACAACGTGGTTAATTTTATCACAAGTCTGCCTATTAATAATTGACACGGTACGTACGCCTCTCTAAGCCTTTACGAAATAAGGAAGTACACTCAACGGTGCAGGATAATTTCGGAGCCACACAGGTCCTGTGTAAATCGTGTTGGAATTTGCGTCCTTCCATCTGCCAGCTGGCAAGTAAACGTCACGAGATGTGGCGCCTTCCTCGATTACAGGAGCCACCAGAATGTCTTGCCCCAGGAGGTATTCTGTCGAAACAAGGGTAAACATCGTGGAAATAAATTCATTAAACGCGTGTATGCAACTATAAGGACATCTTACCGTCGTTAACTTTATGGGCTATCCGATTGGTTGGATCGACCCACCAAATTGGAGGATTCAAAGGTGCTCCAGTTTGAACGGCTGCGTTCATGAGCCTCAAAATCGTCGGAGTGACCATGGCGTGCAGATCGGTAAACTTCTTGCTAATTTGCACAGTCTGGAAGAAGCCAAAAATCGAGTTATTCGTCCTTATCGTTGGGACCGAGAATCATTAAAAATTACCTCATTGTCAAAGTCCCACGGCACGAACGAGTACTGCAGGGAAGGCATGAAGACGTTAGCTTGAAGCCACCGGATAAATAATTCCTTCGGAGGATAAACCGTGCCGTTGAAGGAATTGTTCAAGTACCCATTGCCCCCGATCATGTCCGGCAATACATGGACGTATCCGTTTAAGTTCATCTGGAGCAACGTCGTGATAAGAGTAGGGATTCCATTGTTCCATGTCCACCTCGTGTCCTTGTCGATCATCCTGACGAACACTGGCAGATTCTGAGATCTCCAGCCGACCCGAACTTCGATAGCGTTTCCGAAATTCTTAGCGAGAGCGTTCACGTAATCTTTCGTGAAAATTCCAGGTTGCTGGTCCAAGGGTCCGATCAAAGACGGTACTTGAGGTAGCCAGGAAATTTCTCCGGCGTCGAACTTGAAGCTGTCGATTCCCAGTTTGACCAAATTTTTTAATCTGCCGACCCACCATTGGACGGCTTTTGGATTCGTGAAGTCCACGGTCGCAGCGTCGCTCCCTTGCCACCATTGCATTTGAACCTTTCCCTGAAGATTCTTCACGAAGTACCCATTTTTAAGAGCACTCGAGTAGGTAGGCTCGCAGCGATTGTTCACGAACGGATGGATCCAAAGCGTGACCCTGAATCCCTTCTTCTTCAGGCTGCTGGTCATCCGGGTCACGTTGGGGAATTTTTTCGGATCAAAAACAGCCGAGCCGTAGCAGGTCTCCCAATTGTCGTCGATCTCCAGCTGACTGTTGGGGAACTTGTAAGCGAGGATCTCGTTGGCAAGCTCGTCGACGACCTGCTCGTTTACGTTGATCTTGTATCGAGCCCACGTGGACCAGATAGGATACTTGATCATCCTCTCGTCGGGTCGACCAGTAGGCTTCCCCAGGTGTCGTTTAACGGCGTCTTCGTGAGCAATCCTCGGATTAACGAACACCCCAATTTCGTAATTCAGGGTGACGAGGTCGCGCTGTCTGTACGGCGACTTGTTCTGCGCGACCAGACACAAGTGCTTGTCCTTGTAATTGTTCTGGTCTAAGAAGAGAGGATCTTTCTCGCTCGCAAATATGTACACTCCCTTGCTGGAGAGCCAATATCGTTCAGTAATGGCCATGTTTATAGGGTGAGTCGGGACGTAGGGTACTTCTTCGTAGTACATGTGCTGAATCGGCCAGTGCTGGTACCGCTGTTGAGGTCCACCGAACCACTCCGTGTCGTCGTTTAATTTGAAGCAATCGGCTATCCTGGCCGATGGCTTGTTCACCACCCTGGAGACTTTTACGGAGTTCCCGGAGGGGTCGGTTTCGATCACCGTTTTCGACACATTGCCACTCAGGAAGCACGTTTGGTGCAAGCCGCAAGAAGGCTGCATCACCAAGGGCTGCGTTAAACCCTTCAGCTCGTCCTCTCGAGTGTGAAGAGAGTTTAACATGACCTCGCCGTCTAAAAATAAGCAACTCGGATTGATTTATTCCTCGCTGTCTCGATTATTCCCATTTTGAATCCCGGAAACGACCGACACGCGCGGAGCGGGAACCACCGCGCATGTATCGAAATTGCATTACGCAGGTCGTGCTTAAAAATATCGGCAAAGTCGACTATTTATATCGTGACCCCTCTTGAACAAAGGGTGGAGAGGGACCAGGGGGACGCAGCTTTAAGCTTAGGAATACGCAATAGCCGAAAATAATTTTAGCAAATAAAATTCACTCGCTTACCGTCCTTTCTTATGTTCACGATTATCACGTTGTTCCGCGCTTCGAGGTCGACGAAGGCATTTCTGGTTCTCTTCGTAATTTTGCTCTGAAGTCTCTCCGAAGAGACCACCAGGACTCCATTGGTTATCACCAGAAGAACCAGTGCCCAAACTAATTGCACGTTAATTGTCCGGGATTAATATATATTCGAGCTGAACGGAATTTATGTCGAGGCGCGGAGTATCTTGTAAAATAGGAATTATGATCTACTTACGATGGGACGAGCGTCGAGTTACGTCGGACGCCATGTTTTCGGTCACCGACTGACTCTACGGATCTTATATAGCAGTCTGATGACTTCCTTCTTAGATACCTATCAACACTAGATAGTTCTCATTATCGGTACTCTTGCAACTGCACGTAACGGCGTGACAAAGAATCTTCCATTACAGCGAATAAGTCGCATTCGAAAAACGAATCGGAAGGTTTTCCAGATTATCACCTGCGGCTCACCTTGATTGGATATCTATTGTTTTCAATTCCTATTATCGGTGCTTCTTCGGAATTCAAGTGTTCGAAGGTACTGGGATTTAAGGAACTTTGAGATCAATTATAGTCCCGGCTCGCGACTTGAATTTTTCACTTCTGTTTGTAGATCCCAACGGGAAGGTCTTATCATCGTTACCTATTTTTTGATATCGGGCTCGATAAAAGACTAGTCGATGGAAGTTCGTTACGATTCCTGTTGTTCTTTATTTCATTTATTATTCCTCGAATTACATTACTTGCGACACTGATCCTTAGCCTAGTATGCTCGTAGAGTGAACGTAGTTACGAACGTATGTAGCTCTCTCGAGATACTCGCTAAGTCAATTCGGTAGCTACTTCTAAATTCAAGCGTCGCGACAACATTTTTTGTGTAAAACGTGTAGACGAATGGAACGTTCCGATTAGTTCCCTCGCTTGAGTACAGTGTCAAGATTTCGTATAAAAATTAATCGTTCGCGCTAATGGGAGAAATTGCAGGCTCAGTCAGCTTTTAAAAATCACTAAGTCTCCGGAAACGCTACGTCGAGTTTGATGCTCATTGAGAAAAAAGAACAATACGTACGTATATTTGTGTATAAAACAATATGTCTCGGTTAGGAAAGTCGCCGTTACCGGTCGCTGTTATTTAATACGAGACTCGTATCTCTACGTTCTGAACGGATACCGTTTATTGAAATAAGAAAAAGAATCCGTAACATCGTACACTTTTTTTTCTTAACAGGATCTTCATTCGTATATACAATTCAGTGTTTACGGGAATATGTCGTATGTATATTGTGTAATAAATTGTTTGTATTGTTCGATCGTTACTTCGTATAGATACCTCGTTACTTACTTTATCAAATGCGCTGCGCTAGGTTTACTTTATATACTTATTTACAAGCTCCTCAGTCTTGTGTGGAGTTTAAACTAATTCCCTCCACTTCTCCCTTAAACCTGATGGAACCTATACGACGCGACCAAAGTTTCCGTGGAACTAGTGGGATAGATCTAGGGAGAAATCGGAGAATGATTGCGTTTAGGGAAAAAAAAATTGTTGGACGCATTGTCGCGGAAAAAAAAAAATGACACGATCGGATGTTTCGTCGCAAAGTTATTGGACAATTTTTACTCGTAAAACTACCGGAGCAAAATAATTATATACAACGTCCTTACGATTTAACTAAAACTATTTTTAGTTGACATTTTTGGTCAACTCTTGGGAAGTATTCTCGATCGTGACCAATATGTATCGACGCATCTTTTCGGAAGATATATGGGAGGCAAAGAGGAAAGGACGCGATTATCTACAAAATGTTATGAGGCCAAGTAACGATCACATGGAATAATCACATGACGCATTAATCGTATGCGATCGATCGGCGACAATCTCATGAAAAGTGTAGCCGATCGATTCGCATGCGTTCGCTAGTGTCTAAAGCTAGTTTTATGTACATAAAACACATTGTATTGGCACAGCGTATTGCGTGCCTGGACTGCCATCCAACATCTTGGCATGAATCGCTTTTCTTTCCTTAGTTCCCAAGAATCATGACATAATGAATATTTCCTTTCGTTTTCTAATTCACAAACGAGATCGCCTGTACTTCGTTATAAAGCAGCAGGAAAAATATAAGAATTAAACCAGTCGCATTTATCCCTCGATCACTGACAAGCGTTTGTGCAAATGAGAGGGTCCCTCTCTTCCAGAATAAATCATTAAATTATTAAAACAAATAATCGCTTAACCTTTCAAGTAATTTTAATTAACAAAATCCTTTCCCTACCTAAGTGTCATGGAAGCTGAGAATAAAGTTGGAATACGATCGCGAGAAATTATTTCGTACATCTAGACTGATCGGAGTCTTTTTTTTTTCTTTTAATTACAAGTAATTGGAAACACTTCATGGCGTCGTTCCTCAAATTCGCATTTGCTTAAGTAATTCGCGCGATCTCGTGTATAATTAAGCGTTCGACGAAATTTAGAATTTGCCACGTGTAAGCCACTTCGGTATGCACTAACTTATCGATACGACGTAGGTGCGCAGGTAAAAACGATGCAATTGAAGACGTCTACGAATTTCACCGCGCAGTGAAATACTTTTCGTATTTTCGGAGTGACGCGCCCTACCATAAAATCGCACACTTACCGAGGCAAGCCATTTGTTTAGTCGCTGCTAACGGTATGATTAACAATTTCATATAAATTCTTAATAACAATATCGTACAACGGTTGTACTAGCTGTAAGAAATTTAATTTTTCCCGGAAATTTCAAAAATGGCGCACATCGCAAGGCCTGGGCAGAAAGTATTCTACGTCGTCAGTTATTCGATTTACAATCTTACTTTCGCGATCACGTAAAAAAACGTGTTAAAAAGCCTCTGCTACACGGCTGGCAGTCCTGGCCTTAACGGGGTGTAACAATTATATTGGTTATCATAACCAATATAAAAGATATTCATTAACGTGTCACGATTCGTCCATACATTCGCGTACCCTCGACTATGCTACAATGTGTAAAATATTCTAAGTAATACCTCAATTGAAAACTGAAGTTATTGATCGAGAATCGTTAATCCTCTAGAGTCACTGCAACAACCCCTTTCATTGGTGATCAGTTTTGCCGTCCACCATTTATCCATTTCCTTTTCGAACTTGTCAATAGAAAAAGAACTCTCTTTCCTCTCCCAACAAAACCAGAATTAATTTTCAGCACCCGGCCTTAAAAGGGCTAAAAATTGCACGTAAATTCGCCCGATCGCAATTCCGCGGGAAAAACCGCGCTATCGGGTGAAATTGCAGCCGGCGAATTTATTCAAAAGTCGATTAATGCAGTTGACAGTTTACGCTCTCGCCAATATGCAATCATTAACTCGAGCGCCTGGCTAAATAAATAGTGGTCATTTTAATAACGTCAGTTTTAAATTGATTCGTTCTGTACAGAGTAACCTTACGCTTGTACGTGTTCCTAGTAATTTGTATGTATACATATACATTCATATATCTCATCGGCTGTCTAAATTAAATCTAGAGTATAACTGCTTAATGGTATATGTAATACTAACGCAAGGTACCTAAGTAGTGTGTCTCGAGTATATAAACAGTGTTACACTTGTAAAAAAATTGCCAATGCCCGGGGCCGATCGTTACACCCAAGGGCAGGCAAAGAGTTCGTTAATCCTTAGAAATGTAAAATAGCTGCCATTCCGCGAGTCGTACTCTGAGCATACGCTTAATCTCGTTCCTGTAGAAAAAAGTCCACCCGACGTAATGTAAACTAGTGCTCATCGAAGGAATAGTACATCATTCGCGCGCGTTGAAATTCGTTCTTTGAGAACGTACTACACGTAACTATATACACGATTTCCCTGTCGCGAATCGTTCTCGTTCAATCTCGCACAATCCCTTACACCCTGTTTCCTCGCCCGAGTTCTGTCGAAGGGACTTAAGAAACTCCGTAATCCCAACTTCGGCCGTAATAACGATAAAGGACCGGACTCCTTATCAAACTCGAAGATTCGGAACGTTGAAAATTATTTTGAGCCATGCTCACGCTCTACGAATATTACTCTATTCCGGCGCGTTGCTTCTTTTCCATTCCGGGTCCAAAGCTTCCATTTGTAAGGAAAAAAGGGAAAAACGGCCAAGTGACGATGCTTCGTCCGGATTTTAGATTTTAGGACCAATTGCAGGTTACTCGCGCCCGAAAGAATTTTAGCTCGGCGTTAATCAGACGAAAGGACCGATCGGACCTTGCTATTAAGTGAAACCAAGAAGAATTACCGGAACCGGCCCTTGATTCTCAAAATGTCCCTTACATTCTGTCGGGTCTCAGTCGCGATCTCGGTGGCCGAAAATCAATCTCTAGCAAACCAGAAAAACCGGCACCTCAATCCCGAAAAAACTGGACTACGATCACGGTTTCCCCTAAGTATTACTATACATTAGCAACTTGCACCGAGCTAGAACGAATCAGCTTTTGCAATTATTGTATCATCCAGCAGCTACTTATCACCTCGCTACAGCATCGATACTTCGATATCTCTAATTCTTCGTCGACCGTGCACCACCCGATCCCAAGTCCTGAATCGACTTCTGTTACGATACGATCAAGACCACTTAAGTTCGCGTAAAAATAAATTTCGTTACTTAAATTAATTAATATCCTCTTCCTTAATTCAAGTAAACGACTTGAAACGAAGGTGTCATGGCTCCTTCGGGAATGTTAAAAAATGGACTCGGGGGAAAATGCTCGATCGACGCATAACATTCGACCATCCTTCGTCCCGTTCTATCGAATAGTGTTTCCAAAAAGAAAAAGGAGGCACTTGCCCAAGTCCCTCTGTCCTCGTACCGCGCTCGTATCTACACGGATCAAAATGCCAACAAATATACATGGAAGGCACGCCTCGCCTGCTGCGAATGCTTACGTCCTATTCAACATTTCATTATCTTTTTGATCTACGCACCTAACAGGCCACGACTAAGAACACAGTCCTCTAATTGTATCACATTTTACAATTACGATCTACCATCCCGTTGCATCTCGTCCCTTTCGTTCGCTTCCGACCTAGAGATCCGCACCGCTGGAAAAAAGTTCTCGCCACAAATTACTCATTAAAGCCTGTCGAAGACATCGCGAACTGGAAGCTGCACCCTGCGGCAAGGTGCATCGGCAACCGCGAGTCCACTTCCCAAAACGCATCTAATCAGGATCGGATACATCAGTCGGTGGACGAAAAAACGAGCATCGTCAAAGTCGCGACATCCCGCCTCGCTTCCGGACAAGTGAAACCTGCGCGAAAAAGGGGAACCCTGGAACAGTCTGCAGAAAAGTGGACTAGAACGATTCGAAACACGGTTCGTGGCCGCTGATGCGTTTTGGGAAAGTGACTCTGGACCGCCATCGGGAGTAGTACCATCTTCGAGTACTCGGCTAGCTTCATAGGCGCAACCCGGCGCCCCTAAACCCGCCAGGGTTCCGGAACGTAGAAAACCCTGCGTAAAAATATTCTACACCGCAAACTCTACCGCAGCAGCCGCGCCCGAGAGACGTTCCGAAACGTCCGCAGCTATACAGGCTTAGGCGTAATCCCCTTCGCGGGTTTCCTCGCCCTACACCTGGCAGTATTTTTCTGGAATTGCGACCTGTAGTCCTGAGAATTACAGTTGAGCTTCCTGGTGCTCTCCTCGAGTCTCTTGCGGAGAGCGACGAGGTTTTCCTTCTCCCTGTCGAAGCCCTGCCCTGGTCTGTTGGTATTACGGAGGTCTAGGCACTTCCTCAGATAGACATCAGCGTTGGTGTTCTTGGAGTCGAGGATGCTGCCAGGAACGGGGGTTCCGCTGCGCTGGAACTCCAAATCGGCGACGTAGGAGTTAACGTCGAAGCCCTGGCAAGCGGCCTTCTCGAGGACGTGGAGCTCCTTCTCGTCTTCGTCTTCCCGGTTGATATTCGGGAAGTACCTCGGCCGAGCTTCCCTGGGGTCGCACCTGGCGACGCAGACGATCATATCGTTGAAGTTCGGCAAGAACTGGGGGTTGAAGAGCGACAGACTGTTCCCATCGGGGTCCTGGTCGCGGTCGCGGGTGGGCACCATGTAGTGGTCGCGAGGGGTGTTTGCATCGAGTCGGTCGCAGTCAAGACCGATGGACCTGGTGTCCTCGATCGACCGAAAATCGAGAGAAGACCTGGCTCCCCCGGGAACCTCTCGACGATGGTCAGCCTCGTTGGCCCTGGAGGCGCTGAATCGACGAGGCACGGCAAGCTCGGGAGCGTCCGAGAAGTACCGCGAGTCCGGCTCTCGGCGTTGCTCCTCGTCCGGTGAATCGGTGGCCGAGGCTTCCCGGATGTCCCGGGACTCTTCTTCCTCGTCCCGGACGGTCCCCGTCGACTCGGCTGTCTCGGAGGAGCTGGAAGCCGCCGGGTCCGGAGGCAAGCCTCAAACGGGCTGGCGTCTTCTGTATCATATGTACGTCTTCTTCACCTTCTGCATCGGCTTGTTCTCCGCCGAGGAGTTCGCGTTCTTCCCGTTCGGATTCTTCGGCGGCACGTTGAGCACCAGGTTGATGGATTTGTTGTTAAAACCCGGCGACTCGGTGCTCTCCGTCAGTCGGTTCAGCTGCTGACGCTGCTCAGGAGGTTCTGGGTACGGCGCGTTCCGCAGGCGCTGCGAGAACCAGAACCCCGAGGCGAAGCCTGCGATCAGTGAGAAGAAGCACGTCCCCAGCAACGCTCCTGTCAGCGTCTGGGCCGAATACACCACCGGGGTCACTATCACACCTGCAAAGGACGAAAAGGTGTTAGGGAGGTCCAGGATACGCAAGTTTACGCGGCGTATCGAGGGCGTTATCGTTACGGCGACCCCGCGAATGGAGACGTTAGCACGAGTGACGGGTCGTTACGAAGTGCATTATGACCGCGGACGATAGTTACCACCGGGTATGAAGATGGAAACGTGGCGAGAACCCGGATGATGCGACACCTTCTTCCGCGATGGCCTACGTCCCGATACGCTACCAGAGGACTATATCGGGAGATAGGGTTACGCCTTCGAAGGTTGACCTAAATTCGACATGTAGGAATTTTCCTTCCCGACTACCCAAATTGTTCGTTCCATTAAATCCCATTGAACCTCGATAAATTATCTTTAAAAAATGAACTAGATCAACTGCTTGGAGTCAAGGGTCGTTATACCGTTTTTTCCGGGGAGATCAGAGAATAAGTAGAGGGCGAAAGGTTGGCCCTGCTCCTGGAAATCGTTACCTTGAGGCTCGTTAGCTCTGGGCTGGGTTCGACCATATTGGTTTTCTCGGTCCAATTCGATGACGATTTCATTGTCCCTTTCGTCAGGCTGCTCACCTCGGCCGAGCCGGGGTGGGACCACTGGCTGCACAGTTTTCGCCGTTTCTGAAGCACAGTCATCGACGTTGACATCGTCTTCCGATCGGATCGTTCTCCACTGTTCAGATTATTTTCTACGGGATTCGGTTACGAGAGGGCTCGGAAAAATCAGGGAAAAGGAGACCGAAAGCCGCCGACCTCTTAACTTCGTTCAGCTCAATTTCCAACTACCCACCGACCTCGATAATTAGAAAGCGATTTACATTTCCCAATACCACCGAAGTATCGCAGCGGCTGCGCTTTTTCCGCGATAATTCGCAAGTCTTTTAACTCGGTAACGAGAACTCGTCCCGAACGTTTACCGATCCGGTTCGTCGGGTTGAAGATGTAAATTCAAGGTGCAGGTGCAAAGCGTAATTAGCGAAGAAAGTGAACGGAGAATGGTCCCATCACCATAGAGTTAGAGTCGTTACGTGCCGAATCGGTCGGATGGAAGGCAGGGGTTAGGAAATTTGCGGATTGACACAAAAGCTGTACCGAGACCCCTCGTGGATTGATAGTCGAGGCAACGAAATGAATGGCGAGACTTTGAGAAGGTTTTCCTGGTTCGCTCGATGCGACAGAAGAGGTGTTACCTCGCGATCGTTTTCGCGTTTTCGGGGAGGGGAATTATCTCACCTCGCTCGAAGCCGCAACCTTTGTGCTTCCCGTTGACGATGTCTTGGAACAGGGTCTTCTCCGCGTCGCTGTCGTGCAACTTCGTAGGCACCGCGACGCATTGATTCGTCATGGCGTCCCATGCACAGTGAGGATCCTGAAGAGCGACGCAAGCGGTGCAGGACTTCGCAGCGGAGGAGTCGCAATGATGAAGAGGGATCGCTCGGATCTCGGAGTCGGCGATCACGACCAGTTTGCTAGCCTCACCTGCCAGGTGCACCACTTGTAGATCCTTAACAGCTTGCCCTAGAACACGTACGACCAGGTCATTATCCAAACGGTGAAGTTACACCCGACAAACCCCCGGGATTAAAACAGTTTCTCCATCCTCGTTGTATTCTAATTTTATAAAAAAGAAAATTAATCGGGCGATGATACCCCTGGAAAGCACTCACCATATCTGAGCACCTGCACGTCGCTCACTACCACCTGGCCCACGTCGACTCTGGAATCCGGTGCTTTGGTGTTCAACGCTTTCATCACTCGGCCGTCATCTGCGAAAACACGGTAAGCGATTAGCCACGAACAACGAAGAAGGATAAGAGCCAGTTATCTCCTGGACGCGTGCACGCAATCGCGGAACCGAGCACGCACGAGATCCCTACCTGTGCCGATGTAGAGGATGTCGTAAGCCTTCCCATCCAGGGCCTTCACTTGAGGATCGACCGCAACTTTCGTGAACCTGTAACTGAGACATCGGGACGTCGTAAAGGGGATATCGATCTACCCAAAGGATCGCATTTTGGGAAGCCGACCTCGAGATCTAGAAAAGCGCATCCCAAATCTGGGTCCACCTACTTGAAGCTGATTTTTGTCACGACCGGCAACGCGAAGTGTGACTGCACCGCCTCGTCCATCAGAGGATGCGCCTTGACGAAGTTGACCGTGATGTCGGGCAAGGTCCTGGAGTCGTTGACGCAGGCTCCGGGTCGAGGCTCCGGGACCTTTTCCGGGAGCACCCGGAGCCAATTGCTGTTTATCGTCTCCTGCTCCTTGAAGGCGCCCTGGAAGACCTCCAGGATGCTGCTCATGGTGAAGGCACATACCGCAGATCCGCCGATGGAGTTCACCGGCGTCGTGAAAACCCCATAGATCAGCTGAGTGTGCTCCCCTGCGTAGACACCCTCCGTCACGTCACTAGTGGATTCTGCGTCAAAACGGAAACTTATTCGATCGATCTCTCGAAATACGCCCAGAGTTTTCCAGGGAACGATCGCAAGACTCCCGGGGAGAGAGTTTCCCGCGCTTCCTCTCCGCTTCGTTTATATTTAATTTCGTTCCATCGAGTAGGTCGCGTATCCTGGGACGAGGACGGTTCCCCTGGGTCCGGGTTATCCATCGGGATCTGGATGAGTTCGGAGCTCCTAGGTATGGGAATTGAACGTACCCCTGGACCCCCAAGGCGACTTCCTTCTCCCTGGGAGGTCCTTCCAGGGTGCCCGAAGAATTTCAATGTCCAAACGCGTCACCCTCGTCGCAAACAAGAACGGACATCCCCGCAAATGAGAAATTCCAGGAGTCGTCCAGTAGGCGACTTCAGGATTTCTCTGGGAGCACGTACTCCGGGGGAATACCGCGGGGAGAATATATCGGATTATTGCATGGGAAGGCGGATGCTTTCCATTATTGAAAGCTCCGGTTTGCCAGGTTCTGTCGTTCGAGTCGAACCGCTCGTCGAAGTGCCTCCCGAGGATAGCCGCGTTCCCCAGGACCTTACAAACGCAGGAGATACGCACTCATTTACCAGGGCAGGGAATAATTCCTTCTGCTACTCTCTGGAAATTCGTTGAAATCATCGTTGGGGACGAAATCTGAATTTATTTCTCCTAAGCGACGCGATACGGTAAAGTTCCACAATCGAGCGATGAGAGATAAATTGAGAGCAGAAATGAGTTGGATCCCTGGGTTGGGTCGAAAAACGCCTAAAAACGCGGGCAGCACAAGACGCGATCGCGCGACCCTGCCCGTGAGCAATCTCCCAACTCATCTCTGATTTAGTCGGAGGACACTAAATAAAATATCGTTGTCCCAGCCATATTTTTCCCCGAGTGGTCCGGATCACGGCTCTCCGCTCGTAAAACTAGGCTCCCAGTATTTCCGCTTCCGGGTTCGCTTTTCTCTGCCCCTGGAATAAAGGAATCCGTATCACGACCGTCTCCCTCGTGCCTCGAAATTGCTGAAATCCCCCCACTTGTCCGCGGGGTCTCGATTCGGCGGAATCTCTCCATTGGGGACCGTTCCCTTGCCAATAAAAAAAAAAAGGAACCATGCGATTCGCGTTTCCTCCTCTTTAACGTTGCCAAATTCCTCCTCCTGCACGGATCGATTCTCTCCTTTAAAATTACAGGACGATGATATCGTGGAATGGTAATATTTCCAATACGCCTTTCACAAATTCATTGGTCCTTCAACGGTGAAGTTACGACTCGCTTCGAATCACCGGTTGGTCCCTGGGAGAAGGTGCGTCAATTTCCGGCGCGGGTTAATCACCGACAGGATTTACCGGTGGTAAAAAAAAATGAGGAAGGAAACGGGGAGGAGGCCAGACTTGGGGGGATTTTCTATCTCGCATTTAGCTCTGCCAAATTTCTCGTTCCAAAGGACCCTCGTCCGGGAAGGTTCGCGTGGGTGGGTACCACCCACAATGTCGGCCGTCCTCGGCACGGCCGACGTCTCCGTGCTCGTCCCAACTGGCTAGAAGCCAACTCCAGCTGGATGGAGGAATTCCGACTGGATGTGGACAATATGCCGAGTTCGGGGCACATCGCCCCCGTCTTACGGGGGCGGCTTCCTCCCCCGGACGGCTCGTCGCCATTGTGCCCGAATTCGAGGTTCATTTCGCACGAGGGCTCGCCAAGATTTTTCGTGCAATGGGCTCCGATTGCCGGATACTCTCGCGTGTCTGCAGCTGAACGTAACCTTGGGCACAAATGGAGCAAGATCGGCGGAAGGATGAAACGTTCCCGGGAAAATTGCCCAGACGCACCGGGTGCCCTCTTATCTCGATTGACTTTTGCCCCTCGCGAAAATTCAAATGCGCGGTGCATTTAAGAGATTGTGCCCAGAACGAGGCCCGACGCTCTACTTCGGAGCATTTTATTGGGTTGCGGAATAAGTTCCCCTTCTAATCGATCGACACCGAGTTTCGTGTGCGGCGGAATATTTTGTCGCCCAAAAATATTACGGGAAAAGGTTCGGCTCGCATTCGCGGGCACTTCGTATGCACGAGGGCGCAGCTTTTACCGATAGGGCAGTTTCATCGACGTGAAATATTCCCGAGGACCTCGAGCAGGGACCGGAGGCTTTTAGCGGATGAAGAAGCCGAATTCTCGCGCGACAAGTGGGGAGAGTCCTGGTGCGAGCGTTGCGAGAGACCGAGGCTCGGTGAATGTTTTAACAGGGCCCGGGAGAAGTCAGAAATAGGACGATGCGAGTTCGCGGATATTTTTACGAGGCCAATAAAAGCCTTTATCGAGCCCACCGAAAAGGATTGCCCGCCATCCCGGGGAGCAGGAATTCCGGGGAGTGTTTCTCGTCGCGTCCTCGCGAGGGCCATTAATTGGAGGAGTCGTTTCGTTAAGGGCGACTTCGGCCCAGTTTGAGGAAATGGGAATATTTTTAAACGGAAACTTTCCGACGTTGCATCTCTCGCCGCGTCTACGCGGGGCCTCCGCAAAGGACGAATTCCGGGTCGGGCAAAGATTTCGAGAAAAGGGAAGGCTTTTACCGGATGAAAAAGCCGAATTCTCGCAGCAAACGGGAGCTCTCGGCGCGGCTGTAATGGTTGGCCGAGAGTCGTTGAAAGTTTAAAGGCCCGTGCACTTGCACTTCTCTCTCGAGCGCGAGAACCGATCGGCTCGAGTGCGCATTGCGCTCTCGAGCACTTCGGCGAGACGAAGCTCGAGAGAATGGCGAGCGAGGTGACTCCGAAACTTCGGAATTTTCTGCGACGAATTTTCGCCGACCCCAGAGAATGCTTCCCGAGGACGACTTCGAGATATCGTTGGATTTTACTCGCTGGAGTTTACTCCACCGATTTTATTCCGGAAAGTTTACTCGGCTTACTTCTCCTGAGACCCGGTCGACCGAATCATTGGATGACGATGCACGGAGCGAAGTACTCGCGGAAGAATGAACTTAAGAGCGATGCATTTATTTCACCGCGAATATAGCCAGCTTTCCACGTGCCAATTCCTTTAACGCGAACTCGTAGACCGCAGGAATTAAAGGGTGAGAGAGAGAAAGAGAGGGTAAAAAAAATAAGAGATCGCAAATCCAACTCTCGCCGCGGTTCGCGAAACAATTTCCACCGAGCCCCGATACCTCGTCCGAGGTTTTTTCTTTTTTGGCGGAAATCGCCCCCTCGTTCCCTTTTCGATTTGATCATCCGTCCCATCGGTGATCACGGCTAATCCTCGAGCGCGGCCGCGAGGTCAATTTTCTCGGTGCTTTTTGGAAATTCGAAAGCCCCCGAGGCCTCGATTCGCCGGATCGAGCTCTCTTCCGCGAGGCAACCCCATATTTCCAAGCTGGAGGGCGTTATAAAATGAAACGACCAAACTCTCGCGATTTCCCTCGTTTCCGCGATTTTCCAATTTTGCGCCAGCCGGGAATTTCGGTCTCCTGAACTTTCCAAAAATCCCGAGATGAATTTTAAGATTTTCCGCTCGAGGCTGCTCTGAAACTGTATTACCCCTCGCCTGGTAATACCACGGCGTAAAACGTTGAATATAAGTCATATACAAAAAGAAGAAGAAGAAGAAAAAGATATTCCGCGAAAAAGCTCGTCTCGAATTCCTCTATTTTATGAACTGGAAAAATAAATAAACTGCCTGACTTTCAATTTTCCCTTTGCAAGAAGATCGATGGAGTCTTTCGAGAAATGTCGCGAAAAAGAACCGAATGAGCTAGGAAGGGTGCATTTATTTTTCCTTTTTACAAATTTAACCTCCCCAACGCGGGGGCAACATTTCAACGTCCCCGCTAATTTCCCCAAAGACTGGCCGCAAAAACGGGGACTTCGGTGGTCGGTAGTATCTTTTTCATCGCAAATAACGAAACTCGACGTAGGAGCGCGTCGGGTTACCCGAGAAATTATATCGCTGCGCTTTATCTGGGCGGCATATCGCGTTTCCGCAGCGGGAGGCGCGGCATTAACGCGCCGGATTCGCCGCCGCGCTTATCGTCGCTCGCGTTTGTCATCGGGCCGATTCGCGCGCCTCGATAGCAGCTCGTTTGGACGTCGCCCTTTATGATCTGGGAGCGATTTGCAAATGCTCGGCTATCGGCAAGAAGGAATGACAATTTTTGCAATTCGTTGGAAAAAATCGAGGTTCAATGAGATTTTTTCCTCAGCGCAGTAAGCTTTACACCGGATAGAGAGGAAAGGGAGCGTAGCTTCTCGCGGCTGTCTCTTAAGTAGCGCGCTCGCTTTTTTTCCCCTCTTTAGGATGGAATCTACCGGCGTTGGTGGTTGGCCTCTCGAGAAACTCACGAGCGATCTTCACTCGGAATCAAGAGTGCTCGGAAGCTGGGCCGGCTACGGGAAATTACCGTAAAACCCGAGCGCGTTAACGCCTCGGCCCGCGACCAACCGGAAAGGCGGCCATTTAGCTCGGCGAGTTCCGACCGGCGCGGAAAGAGTTTCCCTTATCAGGCGCCCTGCTATCTCTAGAACCCACCTGCACTCGTTCCTGGGCGATTCCGCTCTCTTAACCAAAATCGAGGCCCAAGAATCTTACCCTCCCCTCCGGAAACTCGATGGAACGAAGATAATCCGAAGTAAACCATACAAATATAAGTAAACCAGTTTCCTCGATTCCACTTTCCCCCTCTGGGCGAAAAGACTCGCTTTCTAGAAGAGAAAAAATAAGTCCTCGCCCGCGGATAAAGAATTCACGATTATTACGAGAATCGACTAACAGGGGACGGGGCTAATCCGAGTCAATCCCCTTGCGACATATTCGGGGAATAATCGGGCCGGGCTCGTATCTTGACCGAAGCTGGACTTTTAACGAGGCGATCGGTAAACGCTGGACGAATGGATACTCACGTATCTCGTTGAAGTAGAACGGATAATCCCCGGGCACGGAGCAATTGAGCCGGGCTTTCAGGAAACTCGTCCATCTGTCGCCGAAAGCGTGCGGCCCACCTTTATCGTGTTGGCATACCCGGCCGACTCGTGGATACACGGCCTGAAAATCGGAAATTGCACGAGAACACGTTACGAGTGAGTCCCGCGATATCGCACCCCTGCCACGTGGAACGCGTTAGTTTCGTACCTAGGTACTAGGTACGTATAACTAGTCCTAGTTTCGAACCTACCGAGTTCCCTGCCAACTTCCATGTTTGCGCGCGAACCGCCAAGCACGAGGACGAGGGGCGCATTTTAATTGATAATTAAATTAAATGACGTTAAGTTAAATTAAATTAATACACAAAACGGGAAATTGGAGCCGCGGACCTCGAGATTCGCTTTGATATCTCGGTCGATGGTGATTGCGATGATTCACCGATTAAATTATCGATCGTAAGCGTCAGCCTTAAGGTAACGATCGAAGGAACGTTAATTCATCAATACTTACTCAACGGCCGTTGAATTATTCAGGAATCTCTAGTTACCGGTGACGAAGGTTGCCTGGAGTCTCGCAACGCGTGCAAGCAAGAAAATACCGTGGAGTATTGATGATAATTAATATTTCCTTCGGAGTTAGCTCAGTATGTCCGCCCTGTCGGTCTTGACAAGTCCCCGGCATGGGTTTCATGTCGTGTACGGGGTTTCGAGCAAGACACCGTGTTTCGTGATTTTTCTCGAAGAACGAGGCATCTTCCCAGGGGGTTAGGTAGCCATTGCGATATATCGCTGCGTAGTTGTTTTGCGAGCAGGAACGATCGGATACAGGTGACGGGAACGAGTAAATAGTACGTGGAAAGAAAGCGAAGTCGCACGTGCATCGCTTGGGAGATGCAGTTCGGATGCATCCGAAAGCATCTCCCGGAATTGAAATGTGGATACCGATGGGATAAGTGGAGATACGTTTTAGGGAGACCGGGGGAAGGGAAATGTCGAGATATCCGAGGGGCTGAAAAAATCGACCAAAGAAGTCACCCCTCTCAATACGCGAATGCATCCCTTGCGGTATTCCAGACTTAACCCTGAAACCTTCCCCGTTTAAATCCTTGCGCAACGCATTACCCTCTGCGACTCGACTACGGGTAATAGATAAATAGTACGTGAGTGGAGAACGAAGCAATACGTGCACCGAGTGTACGATTTCGGACACAATAAACTATTTATATTCATACTGGAGCGTCTTCCGAGGCGAGGCATGCGGCACTGCACCGCACGGGAGTCCTCGATGCATGCAATAGTAATCCAATGCGGTAATTGTCTCGTCGTATTTTTTTTTTTTTTTTAACTCCCAGATTGGCGATTAAACAGCTCCTCGGAATAATGAAGGTACATCACGGGAGCTCAGCTCGATTCAATATTGAATCACCGCTGATGTTTTCAGATATCGGCGGAATCTTATCTTACAGGGTGAATTCTTATCGCACGGCCAAGTGCCGCAAATAAATACGTACTTTGCCACAATTCATGTACTCCACCGCTGTTTCACGGTAGAAGAAGAAGACGAAGTCGCCGTAGGCGAGGGAGCTGACGAAGTTCGGTCCTGGAAAGAAAAGGCGATTATGAGAACGATTAAGGGAAGCGGAAGGAAAGGATGAAAATGGAAATTACGGAAATTGCGGGAAGAGCGGGAATAAATGGGGAGACGTGCCTCTCCCCGAAGGAGTGACGCAAGTATCGGTAGCTGGTCGATTACCGGAAAAAATCGGAAAACGAGCAAAACGAAAGGTCCCTCTAATCGCGCCCGATAAATGGTCGGGCACGCTTTCGTGGTAATCGATAACCAGTGAACAAGCGCGGATACTCGATAGTCGATATTAGATACTCGAGGAGAAGGCGCGAACTTAGCCGCGAGAGAGTTTAATTGTCGTCACGGCGAAAATGCTGGGCATCAATTATATACCGAGGCACGTGGGGTACCGAGCAAGAGGTAAAAGCGCATTCTAGGAGAAATCGAGAAGCGGGTTTCGACGAGAAAGGCGATTTCTTCTATTCGGCCCGATACGAATCGCGTCACGAAAACGCCGAAGGAATTTCCCGGCACCCTTCCGGAAATATGTTTTTGTAACGCGGGCAAGGAATGCTTTTCGACGCGTGTAAAGCGTTTATGGCGAAATGACCGACTCCTGAGAGGTACTTTAAAGTAACTTTCCTGCAATTGCAGTCGCAGACTTCAAGGAATATTTTTCTCGTATCGGCTCTTTGATCAAAAACCACGTTTTGTAATACACGAAACGTTCGATTTTCGATGCATGTACAGCGCTCGCAAAATGGCCGATTCCTGCACGGAGAAGCAAATATTGAACCAAAGAAATATTTGAGCGTAATAAAAATAAGGAACGATTAACCGGTGAGATTCTGGGGCGAAGAAGCCTTGGACGTTCCAAGGTGGTTGACGGGCGAAAAAGTGCATTCACTTCCCGAACACGACCGATCGGTGCACGATGCACTCGCGGACCCATTAGGCTCGAACGGAGCTACTTCGGCGGACGAGTTACGAAAAGTTCGAGGGCCAAACTTGCGGACCGAGTTCGTAAAATCACGCGGTAACGAGGTTTAACTTTCCAGATTGAGGAGCTCGGTCCGACGCGGATTAGATTACGTACACCATCCCAAATCCGTACGGTCCGCAGGGGGATCAGAAAGTAATCGAGATAAATTGGCAAGATGCAGCCGGAAAATTCCGAGGGAAAGAGGCAGGGGTCTCGTGGTTAAAACGTGCCCTGATTTTTTCGCGGCCCGACCGCCCAATTTCGCAATTTCCTCCCCAAAGCTCGAACAACGAAACGCTAGCCCTCTAAAAGTTTCTTCTTCGTCGATACCGCATCTGCAAAGTCTTGTAAAACGAAAACGTTTCCGAATGCGATTTTTTTTTCTTTTCGTTCACACGTTTCAAAGGAGCGTCCACGGGTCGTTACGGGCCGCATTATGCAGGCATATGCAGGCTCAAAGGTGCATAGGTGCATAGGTGGACAGGTGAACGGGTCTCCTCGAGGCGTCTCATTCGAGCGCACGCACCTAGATCAATCGAGTAGAGTGATCTAATTTTACGTTACCGTTGAGCTGATTGAGGTCCGACCGCTCGGTCCGAATTGGCTCCCTATAAATCAGCGGCTCACCCCCGGAGAAATCAGCCACCGTGGCGGCATACAATTGTCCTCCTGAAACACACGGAAGCACACACCTGAGCGTGACCCGCCAACTCCAAGCAGCCCTACCCCCCCGCGAACTTGGGAACGATTATTGCCCCCGCAAATATCCAATCCAATTGGAAGTCCTCAAGGAGCGATCGATTTCCTCCGCGTTTCATTTCGCGTGCCCCAGAAAAATAGTTCGCGGTCGTAACGAAACATTCCACCTCGGTGAACATAAACGGTTAAAAATGAGGGAGGAAAATCTTTTACGTTTTTGACGAAGCGACCTCCCCGCACGTGGAACATGCCCTGCAAAGTGCATCGCCGGATCGTACGTAACCAGGATCAAGGCGTTGGACCTAGTTGAACCTGAGACTACAAATCTGGCTAGAAGCCCATGGCGAAGGTATCCACGTGTAATGGCTGCACGTACTCGTGGAAACGTACATAAATACGTATACCGAATATACGTACAAGGGTCTCGTATATTTCGCGTACCCGAATGAACCATCCGATGTATGCTCTGCGAATTTATTACGGCTTCTTCGCAACGCGGTATTTAGACGAGGTCTCATTAGAAGGGAATTTATCGGGCGGCTACATAAATCCAGGTAATTCAATCCACCTGAAGCGTAGTTTTCAATGAATATGACAAATCTCGCCGTAATGGCGTTATAATGCCGGCGTACTCGAGGTACCCTCCTCGGCAATTTGTCACCGAGAAATCCGCTCTGTCCGCGCGACGTCCGAGACTAATCCGATAGCTCTAATGGATTATTTAAGTCGAGCGATTTCGTACGATCACCTGCTTGTCCAATTTCGACTTTTCATTTCCTCCCTGGTAAACAATGGCTAAGCGTTCGAATTTCAAGGGCCAGATTTACGGAGTGACTGGCCGGTCTAAAAAATCCAATGCAAGAATTAATGCATGGGCTAGGTAACTCTTTCCGCAACGCGGCCCAGGTGCGAGATTACTCGAAAATATTAACGTCCCCACGGCGTATGACCGCACTCGGTGCAGTCACCTCGTTGCACCCCGGTGCATAATCGCGTCCCGCGCAGCAATTCGTCCAGCCCGGGGAACAAAGTTTGCACAATGCAGTGCCGGCTTAACGAAGCAAACGAGCTTACGGTTCTTGTTCGAAAATTAGCTGGATGCGGTTTCGATTAAAGCGAGAGCGTGCCGATCCCCGCAATTCGGAGCAGAGCTGCGATTGCGATGCACCGCGCGATTTCGAGTCGAGGGGTCGGTCAATGCGTTTCTCGTGAAATGCATCGCGAGTATGAAAAAAGGTGGGAACGGACCGAGGGAATTTTAGAAAAATATTATTATCGCGATCGCTACCCTCGGGTAGGTGATAAGCTCCCATTCGCGAGCGAAGAAATGGCGCGCGCGGTCTCGAGAAAAAATTCCCTCGTGGCCCATTATCCCGTAAAATGAGTCTCGGCCACGTTGGGTGCAAAACGCAGGTACACGGGACGCGATTGAATGCTTGTCGGAAAAAGTGCACCGGTTGCGGAATCCCTCCGGCTTCCTGGAGTGTAACGCACGCGGGTGGTTCGTTAAAATGTTCTCCGGTGCACGTACCGCAAGGGGAGGCACGTTGCCAAGGGGTGAGTTTCTCGCAGAAATAGCGGCGATGCTTCCTCGAATAATTCCCGTAAATCATTATCCGGACTTAATCCCGTGGAAAGCTTCGTTAACATTTTTTTATCCCTCCGTAACCGATTTGTTCGATAACGCTCGCGCCTTCCAAAGCCATCCTTGAAGAGGAGTCGCGATCATTAATACGCATTCAGATCCGATTAGTTCTGGGTTAATTTTTTAATTTAGATCAGATCAACCAAACCCCAATGTACTTATTTCCTTGATATATCAGATAATCAGGGAGCGTCCTCGTTAACCATTTTCTCCGTCCGAACGCGACGCGTCATACCACGCTCCCTTTAGTCACCCCGTGACTCTTTTTCCGCTTACCTCGACTAACCATCGACCGTCTAATTTTCCCGGGGCCTGGGAACGAAGGGGTTAATTTGCCCAGAGCGGTGCAAAGGGGGAGGCGAACTTACCTGCGAAAACCGCGGTGCTGTTGTGCAGGGGGTCGTGGGGGCAGAGGCCACGGCCCTCGGTGTCCTTCTCGCTGACGTAGGTGCCATCCTGGAACACAAAAGAACCCACGATCTCGTCAGGACCATCTCCGGCAAGGCGAAAACAATTCTGCGAAGCGCACGCGGTCCCACGGAAACGCTCGTTAAAAGGACTGACACCGTCTCTGCGGAAACCGCGCGCTCCCCGACACCGTGAATGCCCGAATAGGAGAAAAATGGCACCTTTCCTATTCTTCCGTCGCGACATGGGCGGATTTCGGCCGAGATAAAAAGAGGGCGAATTCAAATTCCCGATTTTTGACAAACGCCGGCCTAGAAACGTCTCGGTGCATCCCGGCTACGAGAAATACGCTTTTCATCGCAAAGTTTAAATTAAATGCGCACCCCCGATGACGGATGCGAGGGACCTTTTATGTTGGCTGCGAGGTCGAGGGCTGCCATGCTTCCCCCAGGATGCACCGATGCAGCCGCGAGGCGGTCCCGATTCCCAGGTTTCCGGAAAGACGGGGGGGCGCAGCGAAATGCCACTTGGAAATTCGAACTTCTCCAGTTTCCGGCCGGAAATTGACGGGACTCGGCGGGGGCGGAAGCGGGGCGCGGGACGCGGAAAATTAGCCATTTCGTCCGCGGCAATCGGGCCGCTGCCGTTTGACGTCGCGACGTCCGGGATCATTTCGGGAGCTTTCGGGGAGAGATCGATCGTTATTACTTTCGGGGGGAGGAAAGGGGGCCGTCGGGGAACGGGCCGATGAGCTCGCAGCTACGGTGCGTGCATAATCGATGGGCTTTATGATTTCCATAACGGCTCCTGCAGGAGCCGCCAGGAGAGCCCTGAACCGCGGATGCAACGAGGGCTCGGGCTTCGAAGCTCCTGTGGGATTTACGGGGTTATACGGTGTCGCAAAGTCGCGAGATTTCCGGTTCCGGGCACGGGGATCCTCCTCCCGCTCGGAGAGAATGCAGAGATATCCCCCTTGTCCAGAAAATCCCATCAGCCCATAACGGCCCGACATTCAGGACGATATACGTAATGTTCAGCTTTACTCGAGGAGGCCGGCTTAAAAAAATTCATGAACCCCAATTTTTACGAACGAATTCGAAATCTTGGTCCCTGATAAAAATTCTGGAAATGGAGTCATATGCTGAGATGCGCAGAACCCCCGATTACGGACCGTCGTGGCTGCTAGGAGAAAGATCAGCAGGGGAGGATCCGCGTTTCCGGAGAAATCGGAGGTCGCGTCGTTCTTTGGAGAAATTCCTGAGGGAACGGGTAAAGGACGAGAAAGGATCCGGTCGCAAGATTCGTTCCGGGAGCCGGACGATCCCGATTCGCGGCGCGGCCTGGACGTGCAAACGGGAATGGAAGGCCGACTCGTCCCGCAGGACTCACCGAGGGCGGGAAAGATCGAGGAAGGGAAGACGGGAAGACGTCGGGTGCATCGACCGTTCGAATCACCGAGTGCATCCTTCGCTCTTGCCCGGCTTCTCCGGCTATTCCCGCGGGACCTCCGCCAGCCCGGAAACGGAGAATTATTATACAGCTACGCAATTTATTTCGACGCCTCCTCGCCGTTCCTCCAAGGGCCGTTATGGAGATCGGAGAGCATCTTCCACGGAAAGGAGAATCGCTCCTCCGGATGCCCACGAGGTGTGCTCGTTGCCCCCGTCATGGCAAAGGACGAAAACTGGGCCAGGAGAATTTCTTTGGTTCAATGACATTTTTTTTTCTCAGGGCAGGGACGGGAAAAACAGTTTCTGGAGGAGAAAAAAATATTGTACAAGGCGCCATGGGTAATCGACGCGGGGAAACGAGGACACGGGAATACAAGGACGAAAACTAGGACGAACGAACCGCCCGAAAATTGGAGGGAACAACCGTTGCATTTTTCGGAAAAAGATACGAGTGGTGGTCGTTAAACAGGGCGCTCCAGTCAGGTGCAGGCTGCACCGACGAATGCACCCGCTAGCCGCCACCGTTGCGGCGCGATAGCTGCGGCGATTCCACCACCGACTCCCCGCCCTTCCTCGGCTCCTGCAGGAGCAGTTATGGGACTCGTAAAACCCACTTACAGGGGGAAAAACGAATCACACCGTGTAAAGGGTGCGCTACCCGATAAACACCGGGTGCGAATGCCGAATGAAAGGGTCGCCGCTGAATTTACGCCCCGCGCGAGAAAACCTGAAATTGACCATTCCCGGAAAATTTCCTTTTTCCGCTCACGCGCTGCGTTTCCGTAGAAATCCAATCGTAACGCCGCACGATCACCGAATAAACTAATTCTCACATAAGCGTCTGTTAACACGTTGAGCGCGGAACCGATTTTGCTGAGCTTTCCGTTTGGGCGGCACAATTTTTTATATATAGGATTCTTGATGCCGTGTCAGTCCCGAGGGACCGACGCCGCCCAGACGGAAAGTTCACTGTCGGTCCCCAGGGACCGACGCCGCACTCAACGTGTTAATACGTGGTCTTTAAAACGTGCATTTTCATGACAAACTTATATTTAACAAAAAAAAATGGAAATCCTCCGAGAGGAAAGGTTATTCGAGGGAAGAATCGGCATTATTCCCGCTTCGTCCCCGGTTTCTATCTCCCGATATCCTGGAAAAGGATATCCGGGAGTGGAATAAAAAAAAGCACAATTTTGCAGGGCACGTCCGCGGCGCATCCCTCTCCGCGACACGTACGATTCCCGGGACGTATAAGACGTATTCATGCGCACTTACGGGAGGATCGACGCAAAGCTCGACGAGAATTGGACGGGAGCTCGTCGCGATTCTTCCGCAGCTTCCTGGATCCTCGAATTCCAAGGAAACTCGGGAAAAGCTCCCTCGAGAGCCGGCCGGGGATTTCGCTCGTTAACGCGTCGCGTCCCGACAGAGTCGGCGCTCTTCGAGGTACGTCGTCTGGGATTCGGATCTCGAGAACAGCCTCGTGGCCATCGCCGGGATGAAAAAAACGATGGAAAAATGACGGAAGCTGGAACCCAGCCAAGTGGCCACGTCCGAAACAGAGGCGAAACGCCCGTAAAAATATTAAACCGGTCGCGACTTCGATCGAGTGCGAGAAAATTGTCGCCGTTAAAAGGAAACGATTTTAGAGAATTATAGGATGAGATTAAAAAATCTGATAAAACTGGACGTTTATGCGATAGGAGTGTATAGACTTTGCGAATATACTTTTAGCGAGGTGAAACGCGACGGAGGTGACTTTTGACCCGCGACTTTCCCCGGGGACGTGTCGCGGAAATCAAGTGACGGGAAGTTGAGGACTCCCGACAGGCGCCCGAGCTCCTGAAGAAATTTCCGGCGCGGTGTCCCAGCCGTCCACTTTCCGTGCCGGACATCGGTTCCTTCCGGGAAAACTTTAACAATTTACCGCACGGTGCCCTCGCGGCGGAAATCCCGCGAGTGAAACGCGGATCGCCCGTCTATCGGAACATGTCGCGGAACTTGGACAAGTCCGATAAGTAAACGCGAGAAAAATCGCGGCCGCCAAACTTGCGGACGATTGGTTAATAATTCCGCCTGGACGGCGCCGGGAAAACGAACGAGCCGCGGCATGCAAATTCCGCGCCCATTGTCCCGCGAAACCACCGAATCGAACATGGAGAGCGAAAACGACCAGCGATACCTCGACCGAATCGACTTCTTTCCCTAATCCGGAAAAACGTGCTCCCTCGAGTATTCCCAGCCAGGAAAAGGGACATATTTCAGGCTCTGCTCGACATCGAAAACTAGCAAAAACAATAGCCGCCCTCAACCCCGTTAAACGCGTATGTAAATTTAAAGGAATTTAAAATTTCTCCATCCAGGTTGCAAAATTATCAATTTTATCCGGACCTCCCCATGGAAGAAGTACCCATCACCATTTCGGGGTCCTATCCAAGGTGTGCTTGCATAAGCGTACATACTCGTTTTCCGTGCACTTGGAGCAATTTAATGTTTCGCGCGAGGGCAAAAAGGGGAACGAAAAGCGAGCGTCGCCTTTTCCCGAAATGGCGAAGCCAAGGGGTCGGCCATCGCGATTATCCCGCCGCGGCTGCCGTCTCGCGGTTCCCGCTTCCGGGCGAGAAAACTCGTCGCGGCATCCAAGTCGCGGGTTTATTCATTGCTTATTACGCCGCCTTATCCCGCGCTCTCGCGGCCGCGCCATTATCTTAAGTAACGCGACCCGCGCCGCCCAGATAGGGCGCTTTCATATTAAATTGTATTCACATACGCGAGTTATTCCCCATCTCCGGGCTAAACTTCCGAACTAATTACCATTAATTAGAAAGGTTCGAGCCGGGAGGCGCCCTTTAAAACTTTCCCCGGGCAAGAACCGCCGCCCTATAAATCTCCCAGCGTTGCAAACAATCGCAGCTCGAGAAAGCGCGGCTAGCCCTATGCATAATAAAGACGCGGAACTCACGCCTCTTTCCACGACGTCTCGCTTAACCCTTTCGCTGCAGAATTTTCCGCGGGCAACGTTTCGTCGGGTCGCATACAGAGCGGTGCGAATAATCGTGGGACGCGATAAGGACACGATAGGTGACGATTGCCAGTCGGAAGCTTTTTTGGGCGTTTTCGGGGTCTTGCGAGAAGAATCCGCAACTTGGCTCGAGTTCCCTTCCCGGTCGAGACGTGACTTCCTCCTCCTCGACTCGCCCGCACATACGCGCCGCTACCGGAGGAACACGCTCGGATGAAATAGCGCAGACAAGAATCTTATCGGTCCCAGAAGTTCCGTAAATCAAGGAGGACGCTCGCTCCCACGAACTAATGGACCGTCGGTCGCCTCCTGCTTCGTTTCTCCTCCCCTCGACTTCCGGTTTGACCTCCTCCTACACCTCTTTCCTCGCCCTTCTTCGCCTCCTCGTTACCGCACTCCACGGTCTCCCATTCATCGCCTTCTCGTCGGAATTCGCGAAGGGGCGTCACGAAAGGCTCCCCGTCTTCCCCTCTTCCACCCTTCCGATGGATATTGTAATAAACCGCGATAGCGGCGATAACGCGCCCTCCCATAATTTCCCTCGCGTTTCCCTCCCCTCTACCCCTCTGTGCTTT